AAAATGGAGGCGCTTTACATCTTTTGCTGAATCTAATAGCTTTATTGCTCACTCAGCCTCCATTGAAAACATTCTTCAATTTCTCTTGTCACTACACCAGACTGGACTTACACCTTCATCTATCAAAGTTTACACTGCTGGAATCTCCCACTATCATGGCCATGTGTTAGGTTCTTCAGTATTCTCTCATACCCTCATTTGTCGATTCCTTAAAGGACTGCAAAATCTACAACCACCAGTTAGACCAATTATTCCTACTTGGAGCCTCTCTGTTATTTTGCAGGCACTCACCAGACCTCCTCTTGAGCCCCTGGTGACTACTGAGTTACGCCTCTTGTCTTGGAAGACTCCCTTTCTCGTTGCTATCACATTCACTAGAAGGGCCAATGAGCTCTGTGCACTCCGTATAGACCCTCCTTATCTCAACTTCCATAAGGAGAAGGTCATCCTGCGTACCGATCCGGCATTCTTACCGAAAGTTGTGTCTCCTTTCCATATCAATCAAGACATTATCTTACCAGCCTTCTTCCCTACTCCAACTACACTGATACAGCGATCGCTTCACTCTCTTGATGTTCATCATTGCCTTGCCTTTTACTGATCTCGCACAGAATCTTTTTGCAAAACTAACCGGCTTTTCATCAAGTACTCAGACCATGACAAGGGCTCTCCTATTGGATCCCAAAGACTTTTGAAATGGATTGTACAGACCATCGAACTGGCATATCAGCTTGCTAAATTGGACTTACCTGTCATGCCTAGAGGGCACTCCACGAGGGCAGTAGCAGCTTTTTCTGCTGGCATTCCGATCCAAGACATATGCAAGGCCACCACTTGGACTACTCCTTACACCTTTGCCAGACATTACCGCCTTGATGTGCATGCCAGACATGATTGCTCCTTTGGTCGGGCAATCCTTTCTTCTGTTCTCCAATGACGACACCACCCCTCCTCCGGGTTCAGTAAGCTTGCTAGTCACCCATATGTGTGATGCACAGAGGCCACGACGAAGAAAGGCAGGTTGCTCATCTGTAACTGTCGTTCTTTGAGTGGCCATTTGTGCATTCACACAACCCACCCGCTGGCCCCGCTCGGTGTCGGTAACTGGGTTTCTACGGTACCATATTTATTTTGATGGCGAATCCATAGATGTTTTTTTTTTCTCTTAATGTATGGATTTATTTGTATGTGTATGCCTAGTATTCAGCAGATTCCCTGCAATACTTAATGCTCCCGTGCCGGGGGGGGGGGGGGGAACGATCGGTCTCCAGTAGACTGAGGAAATGGCAGGCACTCTGCCTTCTTATACTGTGCGGGGGAGGGGTGCGGAGTTCCCGCCCAAACCGTTAAGCTTTAAATCTTTCCGGCCACTGGCACTGCACAGGCGCAGCACCCATATGTGTGAATGAGGCCACTCGAAGAACAACAGTTACAGGTGAGCAACCTACCTTACTTTTTTATTATCTATATTTGTTTACAGCAAGGCCACCTACAAAATACCAAATGAGAGATGTATTTTTTTAAACAGCAGAATCCTATAGACATTTCAAAGTGAGCTGCATTTGACCACTAATAAATCTGCGTGCTTATTTTTATTTGATACAATGTGCAAATATGATGTAAGTGTAAGAATGTAAAAAGAAGCATATATGTGCAGAGAGGTAAACAGTTCTTTAAAATGGGTGGTTCCAGTTATGACAATCATTGTTTGAAAAAATATGTATTTGTTCAGCTGTTCTATCTAACATTAAAGAGAGAAAGAGAACAGGAAATCCTGCAAATTTAGAGATTGTTGCCATCTCAATCAGTCCCAACTTGCCTGGTTATTTGAAACATGTGTAAAAAAATTAGATCCAGATTTGAGTCCACCAAAGAAAGCATCATTTGGGCAGAAGCAGAAAGGGCTGGGAGAGCTCAGGAGTGGGAACTCCCCACTCCCGCAATTGGATTTGCTCGCACTAACAATACCCCCATTGTTAATGAAGCCCCTTTCGATCCCACCTGCAGCAAAGCATTCAGAGGGCCAGAGAGAGGTAGCGAGATTACTTGGTACGTTCTATAAGAGAACCAAGGGCCCTTTCAGGCAAGAATTTTGAAAGATTCCATTTTGTTATCTCATCCCTGAATTTACAGTGCCAACTTTAAGTCTTAGAACAATGTGAGTTTTTCCATTCCAAAGGATTAGGAACTGCCTTTTGAGTGCCCTTTATTTTACGGTTTGCCCCATGATCTGATTTCAGAATCTTTTAAACATAAAACGGTATCTTTTCCTTGCAAATATGAACTTCCATTTTCATACCCCACACAGTACGATTAGTGTTTACTGTACACTGGGAAATACTGACATGGGAATGCGGCACCTGTGGGCATAGTGACTCATGCGTTGCTTCCTCTGTTTTGGTTGGCCCTTCCACATAACTGCAGGTTTTGTTTATTGACAATTTACACAAGTCTCATACAGATATCTTTACTAAAATGAAGCTAGTAAAACTCTTAGCAACACTGAAGCTTTCCATGGAGTTGCAGCCAAACACCAGTTCCTATCTCAGTCAGTTCATCCAATGCTTTTACAAAACTTTCTGAGCAAGTATGCTTGAAAAAAGCTTGTTACTTCAGCCTGAAATATTTGTTGTTGATGGTCAAAATTACTCTGTTCTTGGTGTGCATAACATTTAAACACTTGCCTCCATAGCAAGACTAGTTCCATGAGTGCAGTGCTAAATTCTGAAGTGCTTTATCATGACTGTCTCTAAAACCACATCCTCCGAGAGAATCCAAAACTGTGGGCAATGGTATTAATCCTTATTTATGCATGTGTATATGTCCCCACCCCTGTGTAAATGTGCACACACACACACACAGGGCCGAGGAGGAGCCATCCATGCTCTTCAAGGAGCAGCAATATAGCAATTACAAGTATCATGTTGCTATGCTGGACTAGATGAGTGGTCTGTCTAATACAGCACTCTGTTCACACAGTGGCCAAAGCAGCTGTGCATGGATTCTCACAAGCAGGATATGAGTACCACAACCTCTTCCTATCCAGGTTCCCCAGCAGCTAGGGTACAGAGGCATATTGCCCCTATTATTGGAGGCAGCATTTAGCCATCAGGACTAATAGCCATTTTTGTTCCATTCATTTTCCAATCTCCCTTTAAAGCCATCCAAATAGAAACATAGAAACAGAGCGAGTCAGAAGGGGTCTCTCGGGCCATCCAGTATGACCCTCTGCTCCAGTCGGCTCCGCTCACGACATGCCCGCCATGTGCATGTCCAGCCTATTCTTGAACACCTGCACCGATGGGGCCTCAGTGACCTCGCATGGAAGCCCATTCCACACCCTCGGGGTCCTGACTGTCAGGAAGTGCTTCCTGGCATCCAAATGGAACCTTGGCTCCCTGAGCTTTGCTCCATTGGAGTGTGTCCTGCCTTCCTCTGCAGGGGAGAACAGGTCTCTACCCATCTCCATGTGACATCTCCTCACCTGTATGTCACCAACATATCCCCTCTGAGTCTCCTCTTCTCCAGGCTGAAGAGACCCAGCTCCCTCAGTCTCGCCTGATACCCCATCCCCTGCAAACTGGCCACCATCCTTTCTGTAATGAGGGGCCCAAAACTGAGCACAATACTCCAGTTGTAGGTGCACCAGAGTCATATAGAGTGGTAGTAATACCTCTCTCGATCTAGAAGCCACACTTCTGGCTATGCAACCAAGGGTGGTGTTCGCCCTCTTGACCATCGCATCACACTGCTGACTCATGTTTAGCCTGCAGTCAACCAGTACCCTGAGGTCCCTTTCACAAGTGCAGCTCTCCAGCCACTTGTCCCCTAACCTGTACTTATGACACCTATTCCTATGCCCCAAGTGCAAGGCCTTGCACTTATCCACATTGAACGCCATCCTGTTGTCTCCTTCCCACTTCCATAGTCTGTCCAGATCCTTTTGGATCTGGAGTACCTGCTCCTCAGTTGTGGCCACTGCTCCAGTTTTAGTGTCGTCTGCGAATTTGATCAGCAGACTGTTCACCCCTTCTTCCATGTCATTTATGAAAAGATTAAACAGGATCGGCCCTAGGATAGAGCCCTGGGGGACCCCGCTTGTCACTGGCCACCATCCTGATGATTCCCCACTAATGGTTACCCTCTGCTTTCGGTCAGTCAGCCAGGCCGTAATCCACCGGACAGTGCTTTGGTGTATCCCAAAACTCCTCAGTTTCTCCACCAGGATATCATGGGGCACTTTGTCAAAAGCCTTGCTGAAATCCAGGTAAACCACATCCACTGCATCCCCTCCATCTAGCCATCTCGAAACCTTGTCATAGAATTCCACAAGGTTTGTCTGGCAGGACCTGTGTGGAGGGTGTTGCTATATCTCATGGAAGCAAATTCCATAATTAAACCATGCACTATGTGAGGAAGTAAACTTCCCTTTATCTCCCCACCACTCATGGGATGACCCTAGGGACTACTAGAAAATGAGAATTGCATTTTTTTAAAAAAAATTGGGAGGATGCAGCACATCCACAACCATCATGAAACCACCTGTTCAAGATGTTCTAGAAGCTTCTTTCTCTCCAGTCTATTATAAACATGCTATCACAGAGCCAGTTGTAGTGGTTCTCAACTCCACAGGAGATGTATTTTGTAAAGCTGGTAGAACTTAATTGCCCATTGAAGACCAAGCTGTGACAAAATACTTTTGATTACAGCAGCAGGGATTTGTGAAATAAATGGAGATTGTTTCTAACAATACATCATTGCTGGGGAGGTGCATCTACATCCCAGGTAAAGTGAGGATTTCAGCTAAATTCAGAGGGGAAAAGGCAAGTCTAAAGAAGGAGTGAGGCCGATGATGTAATCAACCCTGCTAATCTAAAAGTTCCAGCACTTCAGCCCCCTATGACTATCAAATGTATTACCTGCATTTCCATGATTTTTTAAAAGTTTTATAAGACTAGGAAAATCCCTGTTTAGAATCATTCTGTCTCCTTTTTGCCCAGGCAGCAAACAGTGTTGGCTTTGGAAAAGAAACGGAACGCTCCATGATGATGACTAAAACCATAATTCCGGACATCCCATCTTCTCACGAGACTTTGATTACGTGGGCTTATGGCCATGGCTACTATCCCGTTATTTCCTATACAAAAGCACCTGTTGCTAATAGGTTTCATCTACGGCTTGAAGACATTGGTAAGGAAGACTATGGGTTTCTATCAAATGCTACAACCTTCCTGAAGTCTTAATGGTCCAGTTTACAGGAGCCTTGGGCACATCAGACAAGTGGTAGTTTTCGTGAAAGAAACTCATTTTTACTTCTGGGCACACAAGGTAGAATGCGACATTAGTAAGATAAAGTGATTAACCTTGCATTTTTAAAACATTTAAAATGTTCAGTGGTATTCTGCTAGGGATGTTAAGGGCATCTGTGACTTTTGTGTCTAGGCTGCAATCTCCCTTTGCAACATTTGCTGGCTAAGCAAATAAATCTCCTTAAGGGATCATCATCATCATCATCTACATGTGTATCTTGACTGTGCTCGGAGGAGTCCATGGTGTCATACATGATTCTTTTCCTCTATACTTCCATCAGAACAGCAACTGTATGATGTCGATTAGACTCAACTTCAGTGACTGGCTCAAAGTAAACCCGTGAACTTCATTGCTGAGTGGGGACTAGAATCCAGGACTCCTGTTTCCATGTCTGCCAATAGACCACACTGGCTTTCAGCCTGGGAAGACTCAGAGAGAAAAATAATGGGATAAAGGGTTAGTCATAATCGTAAAGAAATTAGGGGAGCAGCTTAATGTTCCTGAATTCCTGTCTTTCTCTAGAAGAAATGAATGATGAGGAAGACCATCTCCTTCCACCAGAGCTGAAGGAACTGCTACGTGGCACCAACCCTCACCCTGTTCCAGTGCCACCCTTAGATGGCAGCGTTCGTTTTGACTTCCGTCCTGACAATCACGAGAGAAACTTGCCATCAGTTGATACAATGGACACCATCATGGCCAATCATGGCTTTGACCAACTTCTTCCAAAAGTCACAGAACCAGAAGAAGTGCAGGGGAGTGTTGATGTTGCCCTGTCGGTAAAATGTGATGACACATCAATGACTGTAGCTGTAGCAAAAGACTCACTGGAGGTTAGTATGATGCCTTAATTTCATATTTGAGTAAATTAGGGAAGAATACATTGAATGTTGAATGAACCACGGACAATGAACTGACATAAAGATAGCTTTTAAGTCTGTTGGGTCTACATTTACCAAATTCATACCTGCCTTTTCCTACGTGTTGCCATCCAATAGCTATGGGTTGCAGTCCAATGCATAAAGTGTGGGTATAGTTGTCAAATGTGTTTCTCAATACAATTAAAAACTTGAATTATCCACTGTTTTTCTTTCATATTTTACTTATTCTATTGTTGAGACCCTACTTTGTCCCCCTACAAGACTGGGCTGCATTTTTGTGATTTCAGGGGATGAACAAGATCAATTAATTATGAGTGGGCAGGAGAGTGCCAATAAGAAGCAAGGAAAGGTTTTCTACTTGCTTTTCATGAATAGCCACCATGCCACCACTTCAAATGGTGGTCGAGGATTGTCAGTCCGACATTCCTACAGATGGGCACTTCTTATTACTCCCAGAAGCATTGTTAAGCAAATGAAGGCAGATAGCTCTCTGCTGTTTCCTTTTACAATAGTAAGCGCCTCCATTAATAGAATTTGCCAACCCCCAGTTCTTGTCCTTGTCTTGTTTTGCCCCACCTGCAAAATTGGTGGAAAAGTACAGACCATATGCTTTCTCCCAGCATTGACATTATTTTCTTTCTTGAAGCAACTGCAGGGTACCAAACCAAAGTATTTGGCAGTGAGACTCTGGCAACCTGTGCTAGCCTGTCATGGGAGGCAACAGCTGGCCGGCTTTCAACTGCACTTCAGCAGTTCTACATAGGTAGCCAGAGAATGGCATTAGAACAACCAGCTTATCAGGGCTCAGGTGACACAAGGGACCCAAAGGGTCCCTTTTTGCCCATAAAGCTGTTGCTTTCAGCCTGGGTCATTAGTTTGAGCAACTTGCCTTGACTGACTTTTCTGTGCATGCTGCAGAATGTAGAGTCCTGAGGCAGTAGAATGGGTTCTACCACTCCAGGCTGCCACTAACATTTTGAATGCTCTGCAACCTTTAAAAATAAGACAAAACTGGCTCAAATACAAAATGAGCGTAGGCAGGAATGCTAGCTCTACTAACTCTTCTTCTGACAGGGAGCTTGTCTTTTCAACATAGATGGCTCCCCCCCCCCCCCGCCATAATGGAATGGTATCCCCTCAGGATTCTACCCCATTGTCCTGATCTTAAGCAATAGCATGTGTAGAGAAGGCTCTTGCCTCCCTTTAATTCCTCATCCTCATTTACCTTATTGATTGCCGGCCTGCCTGGCCTGGTTACTAGCTTTCATTCAGACCCCAGGTCCCGAGAACACTGTTAATCTTGGATAATGAATTACACAAGATGGTCACTAAGTTTCTTACTGTGTTCTTACTCTTAGGCTAGTGGCTACATTGGGACACAACTTTCCCTGCTGGATCCCAAATGCAGAGCTAAGGCAAACAGGACCCATTTTATTTTAGAATCATTGCTTCATGACTGCGGGACTCGACGGATATTCTACCCTTTGGATAACATCGTATATCTGAATTCTGTGAGTTTCTTAAAGGAAAAATGGTTGGAGTTTTTTTGTGGGGAAGAGGATCATGTGGCATTATCTGATACTGACCTGATTTACACATTAACTGTCAGTTAAACAACCCGTAGTTAGTTGGGGCCACACAGAAGGGCGCTCAACCCTTTCCCCACAATCTTCTATCATCAACATTACTCCACCAGGGCAGGGGAAAAGGCAAGTCTTGACAGTTTAGTGTTTAAACCGCAACCCTCTTTAATGCCGTGCTCCCTTCTGGAAGCAGCATTCTTGCAATGTTCCCAGCCACCACCACCCTAGAGTAACGCAAGAGACAGCCCACTGCACAGACTTCCAAAGAGACAGGATCTGTCCCACACACCGTGTGCCTAGCTGGTTCTCTCATGCTTCCAGTAATGGAAGGGAGGTGACACACTGCTACCTCTGCAGCAAGGTCTGTCCCAGATAGAACTGTGTTAGGAAGGCCAGCAGGCTGCCTGCTTCCCCTTTTCTGCGAGAATGATGTAGGAAGCTGCACATACAGCTTCCTCCCACCTAGCCGGCTACAGGAAATTCAGGACTAGGAGAATGGTTATTTGTAATTCTGCACTGATGTCAAATCTGGTGCTGCCTAGGGTATACTTTCCAATATACTTGGAATATGCTTTCCAAGGAATGCCAGCTGTTGCACTTCATATCTCTTTGCCCCTCTTAATTTGCAATGTTTATTACACTATGTAATGCATAATTTTGTGTGCCTCCTTGTACCTACCACCAATCAGGGATAAGAGAGAGGAGTGGGGAAATACAAAATACCACCTTGTCACATCAAGCATTGTATCAAAGTACACCGCATAAACTACAGAGGGCAAAAATACTTGGAGCAGCAACAGCAGCTTGTGTCTGTCATAACACCTACTTCCATCAGGCTATACTTGTGGAACCTGCCTCATCCATTTGCTGTCTGTCTGTCTGTCTGTCTGTCTGTCTGTCTGTCTGTCATCATCATCATCATCATCATCATCATCATGGAATTTGGGTAGTCACAGGGCAATGGTGGTTTAAAAAGGCAACAGCTGCAGTCAAAAACCGGTTTAGAGTCTGAACCTGGTACATCAGCTCTCAACTGCATTCCTGTAGTAAACAAAAGCATGTTCGTGGGTACCTAGTAAGGCAATCTTGATTTGCTCAGTAGGTTTTAAAGTATTGTTAGGATACGTCTAGAATTGAAATTTAATCCCAGGTGAAGGCTCTGATTTTCTAAGCAGTTATGCAAACACTTATATGTCACTTCCAATATTTCTGTCTTCAGCACTTAAAATTTGCACTGTGATCGTGAGTACATGTTGGCCAGCTCAGGTAAACAGGCAGAGACATCTCTTGGCCTCTGAAGTTTCAGTGCATAGTGGCAGTTTTGGCAAATAAAGAAGATCTTGTTTTCCAACTCAAACATAGCTAAGGCAACCCGATCAGACATAGCTTGATTCAAATATTTAAAACTACAAAAAAACCCTTCAAAAATCCTTTATTGGCCAGACCTTCTGGTTATTAATCCAGAGATGTACCCAACCCAAACCATGGATCAACAGGCAGTGGAAAGATACACATCTGGATCTCCACTCAGCAGCTGGCCCTCCATCTCTAATGCTGGGTTAACCCAAAATTTGCCAGTAATTACCTCTTACTTGAGAAACAAAGGTATTTTTGAGTATCAAAGCTCCAGCCAGTTTCATCAAAGCTGATAGAAAAATGCCTAAAAACAACAAAAGACTAATACATTACAGTACCCCTTTGGAGAACAACTATCACTCATCTGGGCAAACAAGGATGAAATTGAGTTAAAGAAAAGCTTTATGTGGTTTTAAATTTTGTGTATTTTGTATTATACACTTTTAATGACGCTTTAATATGCTTTTATACATTGTAGCTTTTTTTGTGGGGTGGGGGTTAAATGTGCTCTCTTGTGCCCAGAGAGCTTCGGCTATTGGGTCTTATAGAAATTAAATAAATAAATAGGAAATGCAGAGGGGCAGAATATACATGGAATGCTTGCATACAAAAATCAGGCAGAAGATGGTCTAACACAGTTTAATGCAGGATTATTGTAGGGGAACTAAAAAAAAACCCCAATAGTTACAGTAAGGGGAGTGCAGTTGCATAGACAGTAGTCAAGAGAAAAAAAATGAAGCAAGAAGGGTAATCATAATCATCCCTTTTTAAAAAAAGACCACTTTTAGGAGACCAAATGAGCACAAAGTTAAAATTCTTTGCCCATTGTATTTTGTGTTGATTCCTGAAAAACAGAATGCATTTCAAGTCCATTCCGGTGAGTGATTATTTTTTAAGAATGCTGAATATTCAGCTTTACCAGAAGCAGCAGTAGGCCAATAGTCTGCTGCAAACCAATACCCAGACTGTTTTTTCTACTCCTATATGGTAACTCTGTTGATCAACTACGGGTTTGGAAACAAGTTAATGCCAGGGTGATGTGCTTAGGTGAACAGAAGGTTTCAAGTCCTCTGTTACAGAAGTCACTGGTAACCTTAACAAAGTTATCTTCTGTAGAGTACATTGTTTAAGGTTACATACATAAATGGAAAGAGCTCAAATTCGCATACTCTCCCTGCCTAGAATTCAGTTTTAGTTTGCCAAGTACCCAGCTTGTTGTTGCAAGAAATCTTCTAACAAATAAAGGATAATGGTTTAAAATAAACTCCAGGCAATTGCTGAATGAACCAGCTAGAAAGCCTGGATTGTTTTGCTGGCTTGTTTAGCAAACTAGAGTTATGTTGTGGCCAAGCATTATAGATAAATGCAGCTACTGTTGCAGCCTAATTCCCTTCACAGGATGGCTATGAGAATATAATGGAAGAAGCCACTTTCAAAAGGCTGGGTAAAATGGGGTAAATAGTAATCAGTCTAGGGCTGCTCTGGTGGCATTCCATTTTCCCCATCAGTAACTATTCTGGGCGCATATTTCTGACTTTGTGTGATAAGTGCTATAGAACTAGTACCAAAATAGCCTTCACAGAAAATAATGTATTAGTGTTTCTTCTTCTTCGTTAAAGATTGTTATTCAGCTGTCATCACCAATTGAAGCCAGCGGATGGGGGATGGATTATGAAGACATGGAATCGGGGGATAATGGATTCCCTGGAGACACTGATGAAACAGACATTTCCAATCGGCCTGAAATTGTGGTGGTGTGTATCCATTGCCTGTTGCCTGACTGTAAAGAAAATGCACTGGTGCAATGATTCCTCACTGGAACCTTTATTACCCACATCTAAGATAAGCCAGCCTACTGATGCACAGCAAAGCAATTTTTCTCACTGATGCCAATGCAGTCTTTGACTGGGTTCAGGCAGCAAGTTATGCCATAGTGCTTTATAAGCCACAGTGGTTTAGGATAGGATGCTACCTGAACCCAGGGCTCTTTCTGCAGGGTAGCTTATACTGCAGGGCCTCCCAACTTGCCAAGCATTGTAGTAGGGCTTAATAAATCTACTGCAGCTTCTTGTGTGTCTGAACGCATGGTCACATCTGAAGATGTGATCAAGCCAAAAGAATTAGAGAGCCCTTGGCAAAACTGGCAGAAAGGCTTGCTGCTCTGGCTAAAGGGCTAGTGGGTGACTGGCTTTCCCAGCAAGGGCAAAGACTTCCAAACTTGGGGAAAACCCCATGAGGGGAAGCAGGTTTGTCACTTTTAACTACAAACCTTGCACATCCATCCAGAGTTTCCCTGAAGCTTTACCAGTTTCCAAGGTACTATCCATCTATTTGGACTAAACTGCGAAAACGAGGGAACAGTTGGGGCTTCCAAGAGTCCCCCCAAAGCTCTGGGAACTTGTTTGGAAGAGGGTAAATAATTGAGGGGGCCTCTTCCATAGGAACTGCATTTTTTTAAAGAGAGGACCATTATGCCTCTGTGTTATCCAAATCTGGGAAAGTGAAAGTAGCCTAGACCATGTGAACTAAACCCCATAAACCCCAGTTTTGCTGTGGAGCATACTTAGCACATATTCTGTCTCTTTAAAAAAACCGAACAAAATTGTTACTGGTGAACTAGAAAGTTCTGTGGATATTTGCCACTAAGTACCTGCCAAAGTGCAGCTTCATAACCCACTGCCAATTATTGTTAGCTAAGGGCTCTTTTTGCTTTGCCCCATCCTTTCCTAATCTGCTCATTGGTGGGCTAAGAATGGGAAGAAGCACTACCATAGCTTTCTTCTTTGCTGTGTGGGGCAGATGGAGTGGTTTTCTTGATGCAGGAAGATTGCTGGGAGGGGATGACAGCTGGGCAACCAGCCATGGGCAAAGCTAGATGGACAAGTCAGATGTGTGTGTGTGTGTGGGTGGGTGGGTGGGTGGGTGGGGGAGGGGGTAAATCAGGTCTGAGTGAAGTAATGGAGTGACTGAAGGGTCCAGAACCTGATTCCTTCTCTGAACCCATCAATTATTTCTGTGTATACAAACAAAATGTGTCATGATCTGTTATTATCTCATTACTGTGAACTGTATTTTTTACAAGATTGAGCTAAAAATAGGTTGTACCAGACTGATAATACCAAGAGGTAGAATGCAATCCCTGTTGTCCCACCAGTGATGATGATGACCTTTTTCCTCTCCCTTTTGGTCCTGAAGTTAATTTGTCTTGTTTCGCTTGTCCCAGTTCAACTGCACGTTCCATCAACCCAGAGCTCCTCAGTCTCCTGTCCACTGGCCATCTGAAACACACATCGGCAATGTGACTTTTGGCATGGAACTTTATGAGACGGCCCTCTTCAGTACCCCAACTCAAGGTTTCTTCTCCATTGGAGAGAATGACCAGATTTTTGTTGAGGTAACAAAGTCTTATGGAAGTAGAAATCAGTGCAGTGTTCTCCAGGAACATGGAAGCTCAGCTTAGTCTGTTCTTGTCTGTCCTAAGCTGGTACTTCCTGAATACCTCAGGCAAAAAGATGCATCCTCTTGTGGTTTCTGAAAGGGGAAGCTGTGGAGATCATGAGGAAGAGGATCCGTTTGTGGTGGAGACCAAAGAATACTGTTGGCATGGGCAAGCCTAACACAAATATGTGTATCCCGCACATTAAATCCTCAGTCAGACAACAGTCATCACAGACTGTTGAGGCTTTGGGGAAACACAATCCCATTAGTAGGAACTGCTGCCAGCAAAGAATAAGCATTCATTCATTCATTCATTTAGCAATAAGGCTTAATTCCACCTCCCATTCCATTTCAGAGCTCTGGAAATAATAACCTATTGTTCATGTTTCTCTCTCCCCTTTTCTGCCTTAGATAAGACTGGATTGAGACAGGTGTGTGAGTGTATGCACACAAGCACACACACTTATCTATTTTATTTATTTGTTTGGTCTGTATCCTACCTCTCCACCAAAAATGGTGCTCAGCAACAAGACTGAGGTTTAAAAAAAAAGAATTAAAACAACAAAAGCAAGCTGTGCCCTCCTTAAATTTCTCTAATTTCCTCTTTAAACCATCCAAGTTGAGTATACCAACAGTGTTGACCAGAAACTATTCCTAGTGTTCCAGCATTTGTGCATGAGTTCATGTGCACTTCCAGTATTTATGTACATGCCTGATTTCTAGCTACCAGGACCATTTCTGTTCATAGCTTCCTTTCCCACTAAGAGCATGATCCACAACTCGGCAGCATGTAGGGCACTTGGTGACTACTGCATCACTCCTTGGGTCCTTGGGCATGATTGTAGAAGCAGCAGCGACAGCTCTTGACAAAGAGCCGCATGCGTATGGTGTCCTGTTCCCCCCTCCGAAGCACCTGTTTGAATCAGGATTGCGAACCAGCAGTGCTGGTTTGTAGCATGGCATTGGCAGCTGGAGTGGGTGTTTTCCCAGCCCGCGGTCTACCCAGGGTTTGCTGGGTCTCGGCTGTCTCGTTGCACAACAGAGCAGGGAAGTGCACAGTGCCAATGCAGCAGAGAACTTGTATGGAATATTCCCTCCGTTGAGAAACTGAAGCAAAACTGAAATGCTTCAGATAAACTGGGCCTTTTAAGTAGATTTGTTTTTGCAATTAAAAAAGAGCTGTCATTCCTTTTTGCCCTCTGGGATGAATCCACTGGCTCTACATTTCCATCTGGCCCCATTATTTGTTCTTTGGACAGATGTTCTATTTTTTCATCACCTGTCCTGGCACAAGCTTGGTTTTTTTTTCCCTTCTGACACACTGGAAAATATTTATCTGTGCCTGACATCTGTTCCCCATCCTCTAGTGACATGAATTATTATTTTTTGTTTTCAAAATGCTAGTCTCTTAGTTGATAAATAGCCCATGACATAATCTGCTAGAGCTCTCAATTTCTTGATTTTTCAAAGCACTTCTAGCATTACTGTTTTCCTTCTTGGTTGATCCCCATGCCTGTGGATCTCAACTTCAGGATTCCTGGCATCATAACATTTACTGAGGCATTTTAAATTTATTTTGAGATTTTTTTAAATCAATAGCCTGAGGTATCAAAATAGTTTTGTGTATATTTTCCTCTCATTCCCCATGTTAGAGGGAGCAAAGACTTTGAAAAAAATTAGTGGGGACAGAGAAAAACAAGTGAAAAGGCAATAATCAAATAATATAAGAATAAGCCATTTTTAAGAGCAGAAGTTCTTTACCAGCTATATGCAAAACAAAAATCAGCGAGTAACATTTTCTTCAGAATTGCCTCTCTATGAAAGATGGAAGTATAGATAACAGTTCTTTATTTAATTACTCCATTCCAAGTAACTCTGCTTTCTTAATATCACACAGTCTTCAGGCTCTTGCTAGAAAACTTATGAAAACTCCAAGCTTTAAAAATAACTTGGTGTAAATAAATTTTTGATTCTCATAGTTGATGATCTGTGCTTTGAAGGAGATAAGCAAAGAAAGGTTAACATCTGCTGGGTGTTACACGGTGCAGGCCTAAGCATGTTTGCTCAGAAGTAAGTGCCATTGAGTTCCATCAGGCTCACCCTCTGGTAAAATCATTGCAGGCTAAAACTCTCAGATTTCGAAATCTATGTATCAAATTTCCTTGGAAAGAAGTGGGAGGTTCTACATCTGTTCACAGTTTTCCAGATTAAGAATATTATGAAACTTCATGGCTGCTCCCAGGCTGTGAAACACTCTGTTAAGGAAGGCTGGATTTATTCCCCGTCTCCTGTCCTTCTACCACCACTTTATTCAAGCAGGCCTTTGACATGATAGTGGATCTGTTGCTTTGGATGCTGTTTTTGTTCTGTTTTTATGTGTTTTAATGCATTGTTTTAATAGTGTTTGTGAGTGAAAGCCACAATGAATGCCATTTTCATCATTAGAAAGGTGGACCGCACATCAAATCAAATGCATTGGGCATCTCACAGGATAGTCAAAATATGTTAGTGTCATATAACTAGGTATCCTAATTAGCCACAGCCCTCTGATGTATATTCTAATTTTCACATGGTGCTTAATGCTAATGCAGCTGCTTTCACTTGCTCCAGCTGTTCTTCAGATGTCTAGCTACATCATACTGTAAGACTTTTATACAGCAACCCTTCCAAGGCACAGCCTTATATCATCTCTGTATTACAGAAGTGAAAATGTATCTTAACATCTTCTATAGTATAACTTTCTGTTTTATTGGTAGTTTCATTTGGGAGATCAGGATTACTCAACTTTTACTCAGTGAGTTCCTTTACAGTAATAATTTGATCCAAAGAAAATAAGCAGTTAGACTACATAGATACACCTTTACAATATGTTCCTACAATGCAGCTAATATAGTCAACCCTCCATGGGAGGGTTTGTGCCCTACATGGAACCAGTTGACAATATTCACACATTATGTAAGATGGGTGTGCGTGTGTGTATGTGTACACCCAATTGGCCAAACTCTGCTGCTGTTGTCTGAGCTCTGTTTGGCAGCACCTTTGACATTAAACAGTGTTTCTAAGGAAAAGGGAAAGTAACAGAAGAATAATAACACCTCTTCTTGTTTTTGTTTTCCTGATGCAGATTTCCGTGACCAAGGCTGAGAGATCCCTGGGCTTTGCAATCCAGACATGCTTTATTTCTCCAAATTCATACCCTGATAAAATCTCAGAGTATACCATTATTGAAAATATTTGCCCTAAAGATGAATCTGTAAAATTCTACAATATTCCAATGGCCAATTTTCCTATAGCCAGTGCCCAAACGGACAAAAAGCGTTTTAGCTTTGTGTTCAAATCCATATTCAACACCTCCCTTCTCTTTCTGCACTGTGAAGTGGCCTTATGCACAAATAAAGAAAAAGATACTCAAGGACTGGCAAAGGTCAGTGTTTCAGATGTTTGTTTCACATGATTACTTCATATGTTTACTTAAGTTGCTTTGTTTTCTTCTAGAATGCCCAGGATTAGGTGATGGTTGCTTTCTAGGTGTCTGGAACTACAGTTCCCACAAGCCCTGACCATTGACCATCACGACTGGGGTTTATGGGACCCATAGCCCAAACATCTGCCTAGCCCTGAACTTTTCCCATCACACAAGTGTTTAGAATCGGTTGAAGTAAATGCTGTGTCAAGGCGAAGGCTGTTGAGGACTGAGTTAACATGTTGGCCTGGCACAGGGCTGTGTTTTGACTCTGATGTGATGGCATCATTCACCACTTTGATGTGACACATCTGCTCTGTAGCAGGGTGCGGAGCGACTTGTCATGCCAGGGTGCTGAAACTAATGGGCAGTTTCCTTAAGGGGAATAACTGGGAGACAAATGCGAGAAAGGCAGCCATCAAACCAGCTTCCCCCGAGCCGGTATCCGATCGGTGTGCTGGATAACAGCTCCCATAATAGCCAGTCAGCACGGCAGGATGGGGTTCATAGAACCTGCAGGCTTGCACATCTGGTGGGAACCAGTTGGAGGCTGCTTTAAGCTGAAGCAAGCAGTTCTGTTTTGTTTTTTTTAATTTTAGTTGCCATAGTTAATGTTGGCAAATAAAGGAAGTGTCTCTTTTTAGAATAATCATGTATGAAGCCACACTTCAGAGACCTCAAGCTGTTACAGAATTGTAATTTATTATTACAAACTCAGTTTTCTGAAGGCATTTTGGCTCATGTAGAACAGCCTGCTTTAGGGAACACACAGCTTCCGTACCAAGGTTTTACCCTGACATTACATTGTAACTGTCCAGAGGCTTTGTTCCTCTTGCTGCATAGATGGGTTATTGCTGGATATAAAAATGCTTACTTATAATATTTTACATTTCCTGAAAGCTGCATGCATATAAGGTAGGTTTATGTTCTTACCCCTGTACTACGGATAAGGAGCTGAGTTGTACATTAAGTTACTCGCCTAAAGATTGCCAGGGAGTTCATAACTGCGGTAAATTTGGACACTGGACACCGGAGCTCATAATACATGCTCATAACCACAGGGCTAACTCTCCCTAACAGAGAGTCTGGGTTAATACTATATAGATTATCACATCAGGGATAGATGTATCCATTCTTCTGTTCCACCAAAAAGAACCTCTGTGGAAAGTTCAACTGTATTCATAGGTATTTGCTGAAAATACTTACAAATGCTTGCAATTAACAACAATGGGATAAAATTTATGGAGAACTGTTGTGGCTCTTGACAGCTCGATGCATATTTTCCACTAAATGATTACAAATGAGAGACATTACTTTCCACTATGGGAGTGGTCCAGATTAGTCTAAGCTATTCAGTGTTCATAGCATTAGGTATAAACAATGCATTACCATTAATTTTCCAGATCCTGCTGAGATATAATAATGCTATTGTTTCTGAAGCTCCATGTGTGAATTATTATATTGACCTACCTAGAGAGGATTTGAAGGGAAAGAAAGGAGTGTTTGAACTTGTTTTCTGCATTCCTTTTATTGCTTTTCTCACATTTGCATAGTATATTCATTCAGTGGAAGCATTCAGCTTATCTGAATAGGGTAAAATATTATTTGTTCTGAGAAAGAAAGCAATTCATTTTTTTTAAGTGGATAAGTTTCAAAAATAGGTATACTTAACCATCAGCCTTAGAGATGGTGTATATCGCTTCCACTCTCTTTGGACATCCCATTTAGAGTCATCACATAAACTGGGGCACCTGCTCTGCATTGCAAGTTCCTTGCCTGCAGATCAAATCAAGGGCATTCACTGGGGGAGTTTATGGCATTTCTCTGGTCCACATAGCATGTTAGAACATACGAAGGGCCTAAGAGAGCCATGCTGGATCAAGCCAATGGTCCTTCCAGAGTGGCAAACCACTGTGGCTGTGGGATCCCTCAAGCAGAATATAAGTACAACAGTTCCTCCTGCCCAAACTTCCCAGCAACTGGGATGCATGGCATGCTGCCCCTGATACTGGAGGCAGCACATAGCCATCAAGACTGGTAGCCTTCTCCTGCAGGAATCTGTTTGACTCCCTTTTGCAGTCATCCAAATTGGAGGCCACCACAGCTTCTTGTGGCAAAGAATTCCACGGTTTAACTATGTGCTGCTTCCTTTTATTTATCCCAAATCCTTCACCAATCATGGGATGACCCCAGATTCTAGTATTATGGCAGAGGGAGAAGCAAGTCTCCTACTCCACTTTCTCCATACTGTGCATAATTGTGAGCATTTCTATCATGTCTCTCCATACGCACCTTCTTTACTAAGCTAAACAATTCCAGTTGTAACCATTCCTCATTGCGGGGTCACTCCAATCCCTTGAATATTTTAGTTGCCCTTCTTTGCACTAGTTCCCATTTCTTTATCAGCTGCCGCAACCAGAATTGTATACTGTCTTCTAAGTGTGGTTGCCCCAAAGATTTGTATAAAGGAAATATGATCTCGACAGTTCTATTTTCAGTTCCTTTCCTAATTATATGCCTACCATAGAGTTTGCCTTTTTCACAGCAGCTGCAGTGTTGGGTTGACATTATCATCGAGCTGTCAACCTCAGTCCCCAGATTTCTTTCCGGATGAGTCACCACTAGCTCAGATCCCATCAGCTTATGCTTAAAGTTGGGATTTTTTTACCCCAAGGCAAGTGGATGGAGGAAGCTTTTTACAGCAGTGCCGAAGTTACATCCACACCACTATGGGCATTGTAGTGAAGGGACCCTATTCAGCCTTGATAATTGGTAACTTGGTATTACATTTTGTATTGTAAACTTTTAATGATGTGTTAATATGATGCCTCTTTTATCATTATTTTTAATGTGCTGTTGTGAAGCGCCCCGAGAGCTTTGGGTGTTGGGTGATATAGAAATTAAATAATTTTAAATAATCTCCATATCGAGGCAGGATATACATCTTGAAGTGCAGCTGTGGATGCCTCCTTGGAATATGTTTCAGACGACTTGGGTTTTGATAATGCTCAAGTTTTCTGCACAGGAAACATCGCTAAGCGCTGCTGATAAAGAGGCAGCTGTGCGTTTGCTCTGCTAGCATTCATGCTTTAAGTGGGTCCCTGAGCTCACCAGCTCTCCACGGTTCCCATCCTGCAGTGCATCCCTCCTGACGAAGCCTGTGACTTTCTCAGTGTTGATATGATCCTGGCAATGATGCAGAACAAGAAGACCTTCACCAAACCCCTTGCTGTGATAACTCCTAAAGGGAAGTCAGAAGGTACCAAACCCATTTTGAATCTGTTAAGAGAAGTGCACTTCATTATGTGTTAAAACCTGAACTGTAAAAATATGCCTCCAGGTGCATATTGTTTAATTTTCTAATGACATTATTGTTTCTGGATGACAGGGCCCCATCATCTTTGAGCATTAACATTTGTTTGCTTTTATCTCCCTTCCATGCTTATGAAAATGCAGCTTGGCTAGGACTGGGAAAGGAATGCATTTTGATGCTATTTAGCAGCATGGGATTTGTAAACATTAAATAACACTGTGCCATCGCTTTCAGCAATTCATTATAATTTAAGCACCAAAAGCTGTATAATTTCTTTCATTGTGGCTATAAATATTTATTTAAGCATCATAATTACAGTGGAACATCCAGCTTATTGAAAATATTAAAGCATGGTATGCTTTGTAAATAAATGGAGCAGCCACAGGGAAGATGGCTACACCAGTCATTTAAATCATTCATATTAAAAGATGAAAGCCTGGAAGGATTTCATTAGTTTTCTCCTGATATTTTGTGTGGCTATATGAATCCATTTATCTTCTTTATGAAATACTAAAGTATAGATTCATGACACTGTATGCTGTGCCCTGTAGGAAAATATATCTCCAAAAAAGAAAAAGACAGAATGCCTAACAAGACCATTTGGGGCATGCAACTGCCTGACATCAGGACATTTGCTTGCAATTTCTGTATCTTTCCTTAAACTGGCATATATCATTCTGAGGAAATGAGATCACATGGCTCTAAAGTACAGTACCCAGAACTTTTGTATTGGTCCTTCAAGTATATCTTACGCCTTCTAAGTAATGATGGGTTAAGATACCCTAGGTCAGTGATGGTGAACCTTTTAGAGACCAAGTGCCCAAACTGCAACCCAAAACCCGCTCATTTATCACAAAGTGCCAACACTACAATAAAACCTGAAAACTGAGGTTTTAATTTAGAAAAAACAACTCACAGCCAGTCCAAGCAAATCTCTCTCCCTGCCTCCCTCCCCTTGGCAGTGCACTGACCGGACATGCAAAAGCTCGGACGAGTAGCAGCGAATGAGTCGCGACTTGTGATGTCATCGCCTGGCGCTGCTACTACTTTCCGAGCATGTCCATGGCCCCTGTGTGCACCGTTATCCAATGCTCGGCTGCTGGGGTGCCTGGGCTCACGTGCCAACAGAGGGGGCTCTGCGTGGCCAGTGTGGCACACGTGCTGCAGGTTTGCCACCAGTGCCCTAGGTGGATTTGTTCTTTCTCCAGAAAGAACATTTGCTATTTCCTTGAAAAAAACCCAGTTCATCTTTTTAATCTTGAATGCAAGATCTCCTTCTGTTTATATGAGTTTTTTTAGCATTTGCAAAAACAATCTGCATCTTAGGCGCTGTAGTATATGGAATCACATAATGTGTTGGGACATCAAGCACCATCATGTCATGGACTGTTTGCACATGACCTGCCTGATATGTATGATTCTTTTGCTGGTGGGAAAGGACACAGGAGCGTAGGTGGGTTTGTGAGCTTGCCTTCACTGTTGCCACATCCTCCGTGAGCTTATTGTTGCCACCACCCCTTCCCAGGAACCTTTTGTTCTGGAAAGTGTGGTTGATGCAGGGATTTTTTGTTTACTCAGCCATTTAACATCAGCATCAGTCTGCACCGTGCCCTGAAGGCCTCTTCCCACCTGGATCTCCTTTATAGTAAGCCACTCACAAAAAGACTCCAGTGCGACCCATCAGCACCCACCAAAGTGCATTTTTCTTACCAAGCAGGAAAAGAACCTTTCACTGAAGGACATCATCATATTTCCTTAAAAAGGAAAAGGTTAAACACACCAACTAATTGCATGCACAGGAATGCTATAGTTTAGATGCAGACTGCATATGCTAAAATGCATAGGGAAGGTGGCACCTGGGAGAAGCTGTTTGGCGTTTTTCTGCTTTGGCTTAACAGAAAGCTACAGAAAAAACTCTTGTTCGTTATTGATTTCAACATCTCTCTTATTAGAATCTTTACCAAGATATCCTCAGCAAAAACAGAGTATATAATTTTGACAAATGTGCTCTCTCTCATTCACTCTCTTGCTCTCTCTCATAATGCAAATTCTATTGCATTTTGTGAAGCTTTATTCTTCATGGATAATTACCTTCAAGTATTTCTTATGGGTAATTTTTGCACAGGCAGAGCTGAAAAAGAGTAATTGCACCAAAACAGAGCTCTTGCTTTCCTCAATCTCTTGTTGGGTTTGTCTTTCTCATTTTCTAAAAAAAACAATAATTCTTCATCTTGACATAATGGTAACTGCCATATGAACTTTATCTGAACTTGCCAAAGATTTGAAATACTGAAGGATAAATTAGAGCCATAGACTTGTTAGACTTATAAATATCACAAGTATTTATTCTGCGATAACTTATGCAATAAATGCCCAGAATTTCATTTTCAGCAGAATCTGTGGACAATTATATGTAGCTTTTATAGAAATGTTATTCCTTGCCAAAACATGCATCCATAGTATGTGATAATTTGAGTTCTGTCCAGTGAATTGATTCTGCACTTGAGTGGGGGTTTTTTGTGGAAAAATCAAGATGCTGTAACCTCCCATGAACCCTTCTCCCAGTGTTTTGATCATCTGAACACTTCTATCCCAGTGTAGTTTTGTACATTGGGCACACCTTATCATACTAGGGTTCTTCTAAAATTCAGGTGTGACTGACCTGCTAGGGCATATTATTACATTAAATCAACAATTAACAGATTACATCCTGATGCCTACTTTGACACAGCCACTCTTCTGTGCTAGACAACACTGGTGAAAAGAATGGCCCCCATATTTTTTCAGTCACTGATTAAGTCTGTCAGAGCCAAGGCTGTAGCCAATCATGTTTACATTCAGGTTGATACATGCCTTTTTCAAAGCATAGCTGGAAACAAACAATGAAAGCTTAGGGGATGCAGATAAAATCTTGCACTGTAATCTGGACCTGAATATGCAACAAAGGGTGAACGTACAATATGGTTCAAACTGGTAAGAAAGATCACAAATTTCAAATCAACCAAGCTGAATCTGCGTTTTCAAAAACACAGTAGATTAATATATATTGCCAAGGCTTGAGAGAGAACAGCTCACAATATGGCTGTCTATGCAAAGTCTCCTTTCCTTGAGCTCTTTTAACAGCAGTGGGGATGCTCATGAAAACACATTTTAAATTTTTAGATCAATTTTGGCCTTGCCTGCTCTTGTTTGCTGTTCACATGGCACTTTAATTAGAGTGTTTCAGTGGTTTCACTGGAGATCAAAATCTTTCACTTGCATGCAAAGATTGTTTGAAATTCTGGAATGCTTTCCAGGGAGATTTAAACACTGAGGATCAGAAATCCTTTAACGTTAGTTCTGCAGAACATGCTTTTTTGGCATTTAAGCAGTTTATGATATACCAATGGAGCATTGCTTTGTGGAGGGGAGGGTTCAGAAACAACTGTTTCTGTTTAATTCTGTGAGGCTGCAGGGAGTTTTGCAACTTTTTATTCTTAACACTAATGAATCCACTAAGGAGAAAGCAACAAAGACTTGGTCTCCAAACAAACTACAATTAAAAAGACATGCATGTTTCTTTGTCTTTCTGGCGCTATTCTGCAGCTTTCTGATAATTTCAATGATTGGAGTGATCCACAGTTGGCTGCACTGATATCGTTTTGGTTGGAGTTTGGACTCCCCTAAGGAACCTTTTGCTTGGGTAGCTTAACTTGGACAGATTGTTTTTGCATTTTATTTTGTGGCATGAAAAGAAGACTATAGTGTGTTAGAGGATATGATGCGGTGAGGGCAGGCCAAACTAATTGTGCGATGCTTGGTGGAATATTTCCCAGAATATTTCAGATGTCCAGCTTGATAGGCAATAGTACACAAAAAATGTGTCTTTCTTGGCATACATCTCCATCATGAATCAAGCAGTCCTTTTCTTTAAGTTAACTGCCACTGTAAACCAACAGCAGATTTGTAAGACTCAGAATATAAATGATAGTAATGTACTACATGACTAAATAAGAGCATTTACATCTCCAAGATGTTGGTTATCATCCACAATGATGCAAAACAGACCAGCTATTGTATGTTTTCTTGCAATCCATATTATTGGATCCATTCCTCTTAGATTTTCACCAGAAGCCAAACAAAGAGACTTGTAGGCTCTGTAGAGTCGGGGAGTCAGAACAGAATGTTCCGTTCAGGATGTCTTCTCTTCCATCTGCACTTCATGCACGTGACTCCATTAGTAATGGTGAGGTTGTTTGCCTGCATGGCTAGGAGAAAACAAACCCTTCCATGTTTTCTTTTACAGTGGTAGTTTTTGCAGGCTCAGCCACTTGAATGATTGAACCAGATCCCAGTGAAATTACGGAAGCATTTAGACGCCTTTGACCTAGAGCTGGTGGATGGTTTACTTTCAGCAATGTACTTTTGTAGGTGTCCTGCATCCAAGAGTCTCACTTGCTCCAGGATGCAGGGGTGAGCAACACATGTCAAAAGATACAGGAGACTGCATGCACCTTAAATAATTGTGAGATGCAAGGAACTATGTATGTTACAATAGAGCTAAGATGATAATTCACTTTGGTGAACTGGTCACTGCTGAAACCTGCATAAATGATTATTTAGCAAATTATTGTGCTTGCTTAGTAGCAAAGTATCAACTTTCAACTGTTTGCTGGGTCCAAAGTGAGTGCCTCTGTCATTGGCATAACCAGGTTTGTTTTGCTAGCACATCTTGACTGTTGGCAAATCTCACTGGTCACATGATCATGCTATTGACAGAGTATGTATGGTGGTGGTCACTGCTGGGCACTCTCAGTGACATACGTGATGAAGCCAGAACTTCTTTCCTCCTTGCTTGGGGGTTTTAAAGAGGCATTGACGATACCTAACCCAGTCGAAAGAACATTATTTTGCTTTCCTAAAGAAACACTGAAAAGCCAAAATCTGTTTTATAATGGCTACTTTCATTGCATTATTTCCATTTTAGGATTTTTAAAAGCATATTCACACTCAAGATTTTTGTTTTGTTTTGTTTTTAAAACTATAAGGTTGGGCTATAAGTTGCCACACCAGTGTTCAGGCTGGTTCTTTAGTGATGCGCCTGTTGTTCTTTATTGACACAGTTCTGGCCATCCTGTGGTATGGAGATCGCTACCTTAGGCCCATTATGCTTAGAAAGAACAAGGAACATAAAGTTCCGGTGGATGGAGAAAGGAAAATAAGATGATGGTGGTCCCAAATCCATCATCTCCTGGAAGGAGAAGCCAGCATAGGGAATGCAGAAAGCACTTGGATAGTCTTCATAATACTGCAACATGCACACTTACAGACAAATCCTTTGAGGGCTATGATTAAGAGAGAGATGGATTTCCCTTCCTTCAATACATACCCACCCAGTCTTGATCATCTCTGACTGGATCTCTTAATATGTTACAGACTCTGCACAGGGATTGCTGATGTTGTGTATAAAATTCTACCGAAACAAGTATCATTTCTCTCTCTCTCTCTCTCTAACAGATCAATCTTCGTACCCCAAACCACCTGAGGGGTTACCACGTAAGTTACACATACTTCCTTGTTCCAGAAAAACACAGCAGAATGCTGGGTTTTGTTTTGTTTTTTTAAAGAGTGTAATTGTTATTTGCTCTAAAACAGCCCTCCAGCTGTTTTGGACTACAACTTCCAGCATTCCTGACCAAGTGGTGACTAGAGCTGAGGGAGGGTTGGAGTCCACAACAGCTGGAGGCCACCAGGTTAGCGAAAGCTGCTCTGAAATTTCAAATTTCTAATCCATTCACTTGCACTTTAAAGATTCTAGACACAAGAACACACAAGAGCATGAGAAAAGCCATGCTGAATCAGATCAAAGGTCCATCTAGTCCAGCACTCCATACACATGCTGGCAAACCAGCTGCCCACAGGATCCCTCAAGCAGGACAGGTGCAAGACCTCCACCTGTCCAAGCTGCTCAGTAACTGGTGTATGCAGACATGCCACCTCTGGGAAAGGAAGCAGCACATGGCCATAGATCTGAATTTAATCACCTCTGTACTTCTACTTTCACTGGAGGTTGTCCCACTGTCAGTGATATTAAGCCATGGGACTCTGTACAAGACAGTAGGACAAGTTTCTAAGAAATTTGTCACAGAAACATAGGAAAATGTGTTAGACTGAGACAAACCATTGAACTATCCAACCCAGTATTATTGACATTGACTACCAATGGCTCTCCAGGATTTAAGGCAAGATTTTGTCCAGCCCTGCCTGGAGATCAAACATGAGACCTTCCACATGCAAAGAGGCCAGTGAGTTGTGACCTCTCTCTGCAAAAAGCTTGTGAAGGGGAGTGAATGAATGGTGGCCTTGGACACTGGGCACTTGGGTTCAAATTTCCATTCCACAAGAGGTTTTGGGTCTCAAATGGCCTTACAGAGCTGGTGTGAGCCTAAGGGACAAACCACCTGGCAAGCAAATGTATACCAGCTGTACCAGACGGCTACAAACCTTTTGCAGAAGCAGGCAAGGCCCAGTTGCTAAGTGAATGGCCATGACGGCTAGCCTTTAGCATCTCCTGCTGCTTCTCTATTCCAAGCTACCCTTTCCCAAAGTGGCTTTTCCTGCATAGTAAAGGCCTGATGAGGTTTTGTGGGTAAGGTGTAGTGAAGCCTTACTATGCTGCTCTGGGCTCCTTGGAGGAGAGGTGGGATCCAGGTGCAACAAAGAGATGCAGTTCAGGGGAGCACAGAAAGAAGTCCTCAATATAGATGTGAAAAAGGTGACATTTGTGGCAGCAGAACCTTTTGGTGATGGGATACAGGAGAGCAGGTCTACTATCTCACCATGCTAATCCAGGGAAACAGCTGTATCAGTCCTCTGGTTTCTCCATTAGCTCCAGATGCAGCCTAGTTCTGTTAGTGTCGTATAAGAAATTAGTAAGGACTGTATCATAGAAATCAAATATCAGAATGGCCGGAAGTGGCTGCAGTGATTCAGCACACGTTCAGAGCGTTGCATTCAGGAACCAGATGAATACTCACACCAATTGCCCTGCCTTTCCCATAGAGAGCTCAATATTGCAGCCTGGAACTGAATTCCATAATTAAAACCACTGCCAAATAGAAAAACAATTGTTTCTATTTATGACTTTGCTGACTTTCAAACTGGCGTTGCCTCCCCGTTAACAGTCTTTCCGCTCCCCACCTAATAGGCTAAAGATGCTGGGGAAATGGAGCAAAATTGGCAAGGCATTCATTATTTGCATTTTTTAAAAAAATCCCACCCTACCCCAAGACATATGCAGGAGGGATGTGCAGATTTTAAAATAAATCTACTAAAATTAGATAAGTGAGTGGTATTAGTCTTTCAGATTTAAAAACAAGCAAGTCCTAACGGAAAATGTTGCCTAATATCTGAGCTGGTTGTCCATGGCCATGTTTTCAGAGTGCATCATGCTTTGTTCTAGTGGTGCATGGCCCACGTCACACTAACCCTAACCCCTTCCACAGATGTAATAAGCACTGTGGGTTATGCTTTCCTTTAAATTGGAACTGTGGTCAGAAATCTTGATATGTAGCTTCAGTGCAGAAAAGCTTTCTGTTACCCCAAACTGCCTGCTTAAATTGGTCAAAGCAGGGATACTCTTCGGGGTTCAAATCCAGCCTTTCAGGGGCCCCCATATGAATCTCTGATAGTACCCAGAAAGCCAAAACCCTGTCCCAAAGGTCCAATCATTCAGCAGTTTTTCAGCTTTTCTGCAGCTTTTTGGCCTCTCTAGAAGTTTGATTACTGGCTGTTAGAGCAATAAGATAAACTAGGGTGGTGTGGTATCTTTGTGGCCCTGCCCCATTGGGCTCACCCCTTCTGCCTTTGGCCCTGCCACCCCAGCACTGCAACTCTCACCTTGTCTTGGTGCCCTAGCTCTTGATCAAGCGTCTTCCTTTCTTCTTCAAAGTCTTTCAAAGAGGAGGGAAGGCGAAGGCCAGAGACATGTGAAATTGGAAGACAGAGAAGGAAGGATAACCTCTGTTTCTGGCCAGGAGAGGAGGGAGATGGATTTTACTTTGCTGTCCGCCAGCCTGCCAGTGAGCCATCGGCTATGTTCACATTGTTGTTGGGAAAAGAAGCCATGCTGCAGACTTTTCCCGGCATGGGATTTGACCAGCTGTTCTGTATGGCGTGCCACATTGTCCAGACCCAGTAAAGCACACAGTGGGCAATGGCTTTGAAGCTACCCTAGAGTGTGTCTTTTCAAGTCACACCGGCTGTGAAGGTCTTCAGCTTCAGGCCACCATGACAGGAAATAGCATATTGGTATCCAGTCAGTTTATGCAGGGGTGGGACAAAGAATCCATCATGGTTTCATCTTCTAATGATTGTGGAAACTCAGCCAGGAGTTGCTGTGCCCTGGTTATAAACTGCAACTGGCAGGAAAAAAGCATCAGCCCCTTTTTTATCTTTATAAATGCAAAATGACATTTTAAATACTCTGATTCCACATTTCAAATGTGAATACTAAGTTGTTCACTTTTTCTCTATTTCACAGCTGTCTTCTATGGCCTGGACAGTGTGACAGTTGTGGGTATTGCCTTTGCTGCTTTTGTGATTGGTGCACTGCTCACGGGAGCATTATGGTTCATCTATTCCCACACTGGTGAGTACAACCATGCCTCAAATTGCATTAACACCCTTTTAATTCTGAATGTCTTCATTGGGCACAGATTTGCACTTCCAGGGCAATTATAGACTACTGTCCTGTTCAAAGGTATGCAGAAGCAACCTTTTAATAGCAGTGTAACTTAACTGCAGAGGAAATCAATATAGCATAGAAAGTAACTGTATTATTTGCAGATGTTATGCTTTCACCCCTTAATTTATTGATTTCTTAGAGCAAAATCATAGCAAGGAAGAGATTGGCATATTTTTATCAATCATGAAAACTGAAAGCTGTATCTTTACTAGTATTCTCCCTAATGTGCCATGAAAGAGATTAAGACTGCAATCCTATACCTGCTTATGTGAGTTCAGTAGGGTTTACTTATAAGTAGACATGTGTAGGATTGTGCTGTGAATGGGTGTCCAATGGTAAATGTATGCCTTGGTGCACATATATATTCTCAGGCAAAAAATGCTACTGAATGAACTAATGGGACTGTCACTCTGAGGCAGAAAGACAGTATACAAAGAATAGAACTTTTCTAGCATTCTTTTAAAACAATCAAGCCCCAAAATGCGACCAACCAAGACAATTAGTATGGAGAACTGCAGCTATTACTGTACATGGAAAAAATAGCTTATCACTCTTGTATTGCTCAGGGGGCAAAAATTAGTAGAAAGCAGAAGAAGAAATTACCAATGAATGGCTATGTATGGGCATGTTTATTTCAGACTTAGAATGCATTTCACACTACTTTTGAAATCAGCAGGAAAGCCTTGATAAATTATCAGTGTACTCTAATGAGTTATTCTCATAGCCTAACATAATGCCTATTAAATATGTTGATCTTTTCAAAAATAATAAGGACCAACCTACAGTAGAACCAAAGGCAGGCTCCTATGGTTGGTTGGTTGTTTACTTTTAGCTGCAGTCACAGGGGGCTTCAAATTTGGTCAGCAATATGGGGGAACACGTAATTAGCCCTTTCTCTAGTTCGCGTTTTCTAGATAGAAATTGAAATGTTTTGTGAAAAGAAAAGCAGATGAGCAGCTACTATTGTATGGGGAAAATGGCCTTAAGGGAAGACATCATTGTCTTCTTTCCATTGTAATGCGCTTCTAGTCAAAGGCAGACCTACAGAAAAAGTAAAAAAAATCCCACATACGCACATATGTGTCACCTGTGCCATGTCTAACCGGCCCTTCAAGCATAACACAATTTGAAAAACACCCTTGGGAATTATTGCTATTAATAGTAATAATAATGGCAATGGAGGCAGAACAATTGAGCCTTCAATCAGTTAAACCTTCAAAAGCAACACAACGTGCTCCCTTAAGTGGCTAGAACAGAGATGACAGGACATCAGTGCTGAGCCTTCCCAGCATACTGGCTTTTATGTGCATCCTGACTGGGAGAGAAAGTAAAATGAGGAGAGCTCAGTTTCTATCACTGCCTTTCGAATTATGGTGCTTTGATTGCCCTGCATTACCAATGACTGGGAACAGATCCTTCTGGCTTTTTGTGAAGTATCTGTGTTGTTAAATCACCTGGGCTGGTTCCATAGAAATGCAGCTAATAGTAATAGTAATATGCTTCTTATCATGGGATAGACCTGTGTGGTTTTGTTCCTCCCCTTTTCCCTTGCACGTGCCATTTCCTGGACACAGCAGAGTAAGGAATATTCTGCCAAGTTGTCCAGATTAGATTTGTTTGCATTGGAGCTTGGGGAGTACGGAAGGGTGCTTTTTGTTTTTTGTTTTTTTGTCTTTTTTTAAACTTTGGGAGGGTCATTGTGACCCAGTTTTAGAACTTCTGCCATAGTTTAATCAGACTTTTGGGAGACTTTCTCATTTGGTTTTCTTCAACAACTTGGCTTATTTGTTTCTAATTAGATTAGAGCAGTCCCAGTAGGACAGTCAGTGGTTCGCTTTACACAATCACATCTTGGCTTAATGAGCCAGGATAGGCACAAAACTTGTGCACCAGTGTAGCACACCTGTGTATGTGTAGCTCCATTCTGAGTTCAGTTTCTTGGTCATGCTAAAATCTTACGGAACACCAGGACCTGCTTACAGAGGTATTTGTTGCCTTTACGGCTTTCACCATATTCACTTATGCATAGTAATAAATTTTGTGGCTCATGTAGAAGTAAAACATTTTGCTCAGGTTGGAGGAGCGTCAGCAACATAGTTAAGGAAAGTATGGTCCTCTGTAGTCCTCCCCACTGCTCAGCTTGTACATGAATAAATCTCGCAAGTGTGTAAATAAAGAGCCAAGAACACCTCTCTAAGTTATTAGTCTGAAACTGAACACAAGCAGTTTCAGAAAGCAGGCTTTATACACTGCTAAAAATGTCGGGTGTTGTTTCCTCCTCAACTTTTAAGGACCATACTTCCAATTAGCATGTATAACCCCTGCTCTTCCCCCTCCCTCACCAAAAAAACCCCAACCCCCTTCTGGAAGTTTAGAAGAGTCTGATAGGATCTGATCAAAATGAACTGACAAAGCAACAAATTAAAGGTGGCAAATGGAGATGGCAAAGCAGACTTCCTGGACAAGGAGAAGGACTGGAAGCCTTCATGAGTGCGAATAATAAAGTACATGCTGTTGCACTCAGATGTTGGTGCTCTACCGATGGTTTAAACCAAGTTTGCAGCCTATAGATGGGAAGTGGCCATTTTGTGAAACTGCCACCTCAGTCTATGAAATAGAAATTTGATGTGTTAAGGCTGTTTAGCATGGGCTCAAGGGACTGGGATTCACGTTGCCACTCATACATTGCTGGCTTGTTGGATTGTGCTTTCCATCTGTAAAATAAAAGCAATAGCAAACAACCTCACAGGGTTGTTGGAATGTGTGAGAAGTGCTCTCTGCCATCAGCTTGAAGAAGACCCACATATGCAGATTCACACCTTCCCCCTGCTCCCTGGAAATCCACCTTGCAGTTTTTGGATAGATGTTAAGTTACTGAGTTGTGCTGTAGTGTCAACCTCACCCTTGAAGGGCATCCTCCAAGCGCACCTGTTTTGGAAAATGATTCAAACTCTTATTAAAACAAAAATGCCTATGGTTGTGATCCTGTAGCCATTTATCTAGATGTAGATCCTATTGTATTTTGTGAGCCTTTCTTCTGAGTAGACCCAGAGAGGCTTGCCGTGTAAGTATGAGTAAGGCTTTAATCTACCGACACTTTTTAGGAGATATAAATAAGGGAGATGCTGACTTTTATTTTATTTATTTATTTTTATTTATTTAAAACATTTCTATGCCGCCCCCATCGCAACAAAGCCTCGGGGCGGCTCACAGCATAATTAAAACATATAAATAACCATTTATACAATTAAAGATTAAAAAGCCCGGTAACATCTCGGCTTAAAAATTTAAAATCCTATAAATACATAATAACAATTAAAATAAGTTTTAAATAAAAAGGTCTTAGCCTGGCACTGAAAAACCAATAATGATGGTGCCAGGTGGACCTCTCTGGGGAGTGCATTCCATAGGTGGGGTGCCACCGCAGAGAAGGCCCTCCTCCGGGTACTCACCCTCCTAATATCATTCACGGAGGGTTCCTGGAGAAGGGCATCTGTTGCCGATCTCAAGGGGTGGGAGAGCATATATGGATGCAGGCGCTCCTTTAGATAACCAGGTCCCAAGCTGTTGAGGGCTTTATAGGTCATAACCAACACCTTGAATTGGGTCCGGACTTCAATTGGGAGCCAGTGAAGCTGACGGAGAACTGGGGTTATATGAGAACAATGCCCAGTCCCCGTCAGCAACCTGGCAGCTCTATTCTGCACCAATTGAAGTATCCGGACCGTCTTCAAGGGTAGCCCCACGTAGAGCGCGTTACAGAAGTCTAATTGGGAAGTTACCAACGCATGTGTCACTGTCGCCAGGCAGTCGTTCTCCAGGAAGGGATACAGCTGATGGATCAGCCGAAGCTGAAGGAAGGCACTCCTCACCACCGCCATCACCTGAGCTTCTAGTGACAACTCAGGGTCAAGGAGCACTCCCAAGCTGCGAACCCTGTCCCTCAGAGGGAGTACAACCCCATTTAGGACAAGGCTCAAGTCCCCCATCCCGAGGCCCGAGCCACCCACCAACAGGACCTCCGTCTGGATTGAGCTTCAGTTTGTTGGCCCTCATCCAGCCCATTACCTCGGCCAAGCACCGGTTCAGTACAGCCACTGCCTCACCTGGATCGGTTGAGAAAGAGGTAGAGCTGGGTATCATCAGCGTACTGATGATTCCACAGCCCACACCTCCTAATGACCTCTCCCAGCGTTTTCATGTAGATGTTAAATAGCAAGGGGGACAAAATGGAATTATTGAATTTTTTTTAAATGCAGACACTTTTAATTGCTATTTGCCTCGTGGTAGCACCCAAATAGGAAAAAAGCTAAACCATTAGTTGAGTCTGATTAGTGTAGGATCTGCTGTCCAGTGCAGGTCAAAGTTTTGTGGGGCCCTGTCCACTCACCACTGCTGTCACCAGCTGCTCTTGCTGCTTGTCTTCTTTCACCTCGCTGCTACCGCTTGCTTGCTCGCTGGACAAGCAGAGAGGCAGTGAGCGAGTCCACAGTGGCACCGGTCCCCCCTCCTCCTCACTAGTTCCATTGTCCAGGCCAGCAAAACAAGCAGAGGAGCACGCAGATTGTGGCAGTGAAGAAGAGGAAACTTGTCTGTGTGTGCTTGGCAGGTGCCTGACATGCCTACACTTGAGGGAGCAAACGCTGCTACTAATCAGAAGTAAACAGCCACAATTTCAGAATTTCAGCGGGGGAGAAAAAACGGGGAAAGGAAGCATGGTGGCCTGTAATTACATTTTTGGAAGAACTTCTAGCTTGACTATAAAAGTATATGTTTGTGTTGAGTCTGCCAGAGGACTTGACTTTTTATTTGTCTTTTCTTTATTTTTATTTGTTCTGTGCATGGGCAGCAGAGAGAAAAGTATTGGCTTCTAATGGGATGATTTACTTTTAGTTGTATTCTTTGCATGTTGTGTATATTTTGGATTTTTTATTTCATAAACTTTTAATTACGTTTAGGGGGAAATGCCAAGGGTCGGCTGCCTTGCATTCTTAAAAACCAAGGATCTAAACGAATGGATTGAAATAGAGATGTGTTTTGGAGATGCATAGGAAAGTATAATTTTACAGAGGGGGAAAAGAAGGTAATTAAACTAACACCTCTCTGGCAGTTTCTCCCCTCTGGAGCAGCTTTTGAGGGTAGGCAAGGGACATATTGTTAAAGAACTTAGAGGAAATGGAAGATAATAAGCTGACCTTGGGAATTACTGACCTTTTTCTCATAAGTCTCCTGAAAGCCCCTGAGGCCTAGGAAGAACAATAAGGAAAGGGCTCACTACACAGCGTAACTATTGCAGCAGCAGCAAGTAAACTAATCCACTCCCTCTGCCCTCTCCCTTCTTTGTATTCTGGAAAATTCCATGCTCCAAGTGGCAAGCTGGACTATGGGATGCAGGTGCCAAAGGAAAGAAATGTAGGCAAGGAGAGCTGGGAAGGGAAATTGAGGCAGGAACCCTCCTGGTCAGATACAAACCATCTTGATGGCCATGTTTCCATGAACTTCCTCCCCAGTTGGTGGGACATTCACCAGTCAATGTGGATTTATGACTCCTAGGATTATCTCATATACAGCTAATAATGGGATCAATAGGACTGTATTGAGGTTCATGGTAGATACAGAGAACTCTTTTTCTTGGAAGAAGATCCAGAGCAAAGATTTAAACTCCAGCAGAGGCCTGTGCCAGTAAGATGAGGGGGCACAACCCTAAATTTGAAAAGGGAAAATGAAGAAAATTGTCTTGCAAGAAGAAAGGGGGGAGGGAACATATGAGACAGTGTATTTTTGGCATCTAAATTTTGACAGCTGTGCATGCCGTTTTCCCTGAAGATGAAAAGGTATTCATCTACACAAAGTTAGAACAAAACGTTTACAGATCATCTCTGATATGCCGTGATTGCTGCAGAGCTCTGTGCAATAGTGTGGTTTATAGAATGGGTGACAGCGTAGCTGTAATAGGATCCAGCAGCCGGGAATGTAGGCCAGTTCTACATTTTGCAGATCACTTTCCTGGCACTGGGTTTGAGGGGCCCTATTAAGGGAATGGAAGCATCTGCAGCTCTGCGTTTATATGGAAATAGGGTGGCTACCCCTCCCCTCAAGTATTCCCAGTTTTTAGTCAAGGGAGGTTTGCTTTCCACCTTTTCTTTGAGATGAGTTTTGCAGTGTTAGGGAAGGGTATTCATGTGTCTGAAGTAATGACCAGTAAGTGACCAGATTAATCTTCATATGCAACTTTACAGGTATTGTTTACAGCAGCCTTCCCCAGTCTGGTGTTCCCCAGATGTACTGAATTATAACTGTCATCATTCCCAGGCAGTATGGCCATGGGAGTTGTAGTCCAAACAGCTGGAGGGCTCCAGGTTGTGGAAAGCTGATTTATGCTGATTACTACTAAAAATACAGAAGAATACGATGCTGCAGAAATGTCAGGTTAGGTTTTGACCTGTCTCAGAAAACGTGTCTCATCTGTGAGTGCTTTCACAATGATAACACCGTGTTACCCTGAAAATAAGACCAGGTCTTATATTAATTTTTGCTCTAAAAGATGCACTAGGGCTTATTTTCAGGTGATGTCTTATTTTTTCATGTACAAAAATCTACATTTATTCAAATACAGTCATGCCATCTTCTGGAACATCGTCATAACTCTCCAGACCCCAAATTGTGATGTAATGAACGTACTAAATGTCCGTCTGGATAATGATCTTAACTGGGGCTTGTTCTGGCGGTAGGGCTTATATTACAAGCATCCTGGAAAAATCATGCTAGGGTTTATTTTCTGGTTAGGTCTTATTTTTGGGGAAACAGGGTAGTAATGCATATTTTCTCCATGTTGCCATCTCTGCCTTCAATTAGATTAAACTGGATTTTGCAGGTCTGGATCAGCCCACAGTGGTATCGTCCCTACAGGCTCACTAGTGAAATCCTAGTACTATGACAGGCCCACCGCCTCCCTCCAACGGGACAACTGACCTTCCTTGCCTCTGTGCCTTGCTATCCCATCCCATTCCTGCTGCTTCTGTGGCTTTCATAAGCCCCCTGTGAGATTCATTCCCAGTGTTTCCTTTGAATCCATCTAGAAAGCAAGACAGAGTGGTATAGTGTTGCACGGGGATACCTGTATGGAGGGAAAGCCTGCGTGCTCCAACGGAGCAAAGCTCAGGGAGCCAAGGTTTCGTTTGGGTGCTAGGAAGCACTTCCTGACAGTCAGGACCCCGAGGGTGTGGAATGGGCTTCCACGAGAGGTCGTTGAGGCCCCATCGGTGCTGGACATCCACATGGTGGGCATGTCGTGAGTGGAGCCGGCTGGTGCTGGAGGTCAGACTAGATGGCCCGGGAGACCCCTTCTGACTTGCTCTGTTTTCTATGTTTCTATGTTAACTCCCACCAGCCTGACTCAGCATATGCAATGCTGACAAATGATGGGAGCTTATTTCTTTATTTATTAGATTTATATCCCACCTTTTTCTTAAAAAGAACTCAGAGTGGCTTACATCATTCTCCTCCTCCTGTTCTCAGTCCCATCCCCACAACAACAACCCTGTGAGGTAGGTTGGGCTGAGAGTGTGTGACTGTCCCAAAGTCACCCAGCTGGCTTCATGGCTGAGTGGGACTAGAATTCAGATCTCCTGAGTCCCAGTCCCATGCTCTTAGCATCTGGAGGCCCACAGGTTGCTCACATCTGGTACAGTGGATAGTGTGTTGAACTGGAATCAGGGAGTGCCAGGTTTGACCATCCAGCCAGCTGCAAATCTCAAGATGGCTTTGAGGGAAGAATACATGCGTTTCCTAACATAGGCTTGCCATGAGGATAAAATGGAATTATTTCTCCCGTTCAGTTTTTTAGCTCCTTGGAGTAATAGCAGGATACAAATGAGATAGATATATATCAATTTAAAGAAAGTGTTTCTGTACAAGCTAGAGCATGCACTTGGCTTACCTTCCAGCATACTTATCCTCGAAACACACGCAAAAGTTTACAAAGGATCTGCCTGACTTCAAAACTGTGTGACTTCAGTCTCTTGACAAGACAGCAGTAAATCAATCCTGCCATTCTCCAGTGAGCTTGCAACCAGCTATTTTGCCAAGCAACCAACAACACAAGCTGCCTGTTTCCATACAACTGGTGCATGTAGCTGTGAGCATCTTGCAGCACTTTTTAACAAAAAAGTTAAATTTTCCTCTTTGAAGCCTCTGTGTACCATTTCTTTCTCCTTCGGAAATGACAAGGTGAAGGTGCTTGTAGACAGTCTCCCTCGTAACACTGAGTTCTTGTGTTTTGCTTTCTTGTTTGTTTATTTCCTCCCCCTTTCCCCCACCTCCAGGAGAACCAGCAGGAAAGCAGCAGGTCCCCACATTGGCCCCCGCCTCGGAAAACAGCAGTGCAGCCCACAGCATTGTCAGCACACAAAGCACACCCTGTTCCAGCAGCAGCACGGCCTAACCCAGGGGCAGGAGGCACGTCCACGGAGCAACGCAGGAGAGCAGGAGCTGTTCAGGAGGTGTTGCTTGTTGTTTGCTGTGACTGGTTTGGATTCTTTGGCAAAATGAGGAGGGATTTTCTTCATTGTTGTGTCTTTCCTGGACAAACATGGTCCTTGGACTTTTTGCAGCATGCTTGGCTAACACATGACAAAGCTACTATTTATATACATCTGTGGACTGAGTAGAAGAGTCCACGGGCTCTCAATGTGAAACACAAGCCAGGTTTTCGCCCCCATGAATGCTGCTTTGTCTGTACAGAATCGAGATGTTATGTTCCACAAATGTCAAGGTGACACAAGGGATCTGTAAAGGGATTTCAGTCTCATAAGCTGGGGTAAAGGCTTTGTTTTCCATCTCCCCACCCCAAGACTTTCCACCACCCTTTAGTCAGGGGATTCCATCTCTTCAGAACAAGAACATTGCAAACACAGAGTGATTTGCCATTAAAGATAAGAACGCGTATTGATTTTTGTAGCTGCGCATGACCACTCCTCAGCAGCTCCTTCTCGATGATTCGTATCATTGTTGAGCCAGCAACAGCCACATTTTGTCCCTGCTGAAAGGATTTGCATCCTCTTAAGTTTAACTTTTGGGATACCAGCAGAGACCAATGCCATAGAACTATGGGTTAAACAAAACGTTGATTAGTTATTTCTAAAGACACACACTTATTCATACATCCAGAAGCTTGCTTATATACATAATGCAAAAAATCAGAGATGTTCCGGTTCTTCGTTTGCCCCCTATCCTTATTGGGAACTCCCAATTTTCATTCAGAACCTGTTTGTCTCATCTCCTTACCCAGAAATCATTTCCAGCACAGTGTCTATTATCTGTTATATGTAGTCTGGGAATTTGCCTGTAAGGCATCACAGAAATAGCTTGCCTCAAAGGTTTGTTTCATACGTGCCTGCAAGCATACAGAGCTCCTGCACATGCAACAGTGAATAAGGAAAGCCCATGTTTACCACACCTAGCATGTCCACACAGAAGCACTCTGGAGCTGTATTCTGAGGGTTCTGGCATACGCCAGAATGCCAAATGTACATAGTTAGCACATGTGTGTGCACAATGAGGTTATACAAGCCAGTGAGCCAATTCTGAACCTTTGGCACACCTAAATATACTCTAGCATAAGAGGAAGTGCCAAAAATCAGGAGAAATGTAGAAAAGAAAATGGCCAATCAAGAAAGGTTCCAGTGTTTAACCAAGTCAATGTCTATTGCGAGGGAGATGGTTTTTGTTTGTTGACTCATGGTGACCTAGAAGTATATTCTTTCTAGTACCAGCATTTCTGAATTTGATGCAATCAAGTACCAGCATTTCTTAATTTGATGCAAGGACATCAGATGTGTTCACAGTTTGGAAGTGACCCACATAGCTGAGCTTTTAAATTGAGCAATGATTTTAATATTCTCATATGACCTCCATCACAGAACAAGGCTGTACAATGTCTGTATTATCACCTAGTCTTTTCATCAAAAAGTATTTGGGTCAGGCCTGAATTCTTCGTGGTTCCGATTTTTCCTTAATTTTATGGTGACTTTATCTTTCCAGAGGAGACAAATGTTAAGTGAATTGTTCTGTATGACTCATAGTGTATCAGAATGAACTGACTCCTTAAAAGCCCCTCTACATTTTGTACCCACTAGCTAGTTAGTCATCTCAACATTGCAAGTTGATATATTCCAACATAGCAGTTGGAATGCAAAACTGGTACTAATATTTACAATATTCTTAGAATGCCTACCTCACCTCCCCCTAGCTGTAACATGCCTACCTAATGAAAACCGGAGAAAATTATTGGAAACTATTGGAATATTAAGCTGTCACTTTATGAATTGAAAGATGTCCTTCTGGTTCCTTCCTTGAGAAAGCAAACTAAGTCCCACTTCCCTTTTGCAGACAACCAAACATTGCTCTTATAACCTTCTATGGAAATTGCTCCCCCACCTCCTTTGCTGGACCAGACATTTTTCTAAAGAACCATAGTGTTCAACTTGCAAGAGAATTCTACTACAGATTCAAGCTGTGGGGATATATTCATATCGGTGAATAATTGAGATCAGAATGAGTATGATAGAAGTGGCATGGACAAGAATACATGATTGTTATCTTCAATCAGGAGTTTGAACGGCATCCTGTAAATACTTTCCCATGTCAGTCAAATCCTTAAGGTTGAGGGTTCAGATCGAACTGAGTTTGAACTGCGATCAAGAAAGGTGGTGGGATGGAAGGCATGTCACCATCTGGCCTTTTTGGTTTGCTTGCTTACTTGTTCAAAGGGGAACACAAGAAGAGTTGGGGATTTAGGACAGCTCCTCCTCCCCAGAAAACATGAATAGAAAACCCCATTGCTACTCATATTACTCAAATTAGTGAGACAACCTCAAATTACTGAGGTTGCCAGCTGACCGGAAGGCTCTCATTGAAACAGGTTGTTCTTCTTCGTGGTCTCTGTGCATCACACATAATGGGTACTGTGCCTGTGCAGTGCCTGTTGTCGGCCAGAATACCAAAGCTACAACGGTTTTTGGTGGGAACGCCGCACCCCTCCCCCCTGGTGCTATATAGGGCGGAGCGCCTGCCATTTTTCTCAGTCTTCTTTCGACCACTGATCACATTGCCTCGAGCCATTACTCTGTCTTCTCGTACCTGATTGTTGTTCTCTTAAAAATTTTCCAGTTGAATCTATCCAAGTTATTTTCCCTTGTTTCCCAGTTAATTCTCTTCCTCTTTACACCTTCCAAAAAAAAAAGTTTAATATCTCTTTTTTTCCTTACCTTTACTATCTCCTTCTTATCTTCTCGATGGCTCAGCGCATGACTGTTTGAAAGTGTTCAAAATGCGGGGCCAAAATGTCCCCAGAGGACCCACTTGAGCTCTGCCTCCTCTGCTTGGGAGAGCGGCATCACACCGACAAATGTGGGCACTGCCAGGCCTTCGCTAAACAGGCCAGGAAAAACCGAGACAACAGGCTGAGAAAGATCCTTTGGGATCAGGCCTTACAAGCCTCCAACGAGCTCGTCGCCCAGCCTATATGGCCCGCCCTTCTATGGTGACCTCCCCTCGCCCACCGTCCAGGGGAGTTGCTTCCGAGGAGACCTCTCGCTCCTCCCACTCCTCACTCAAACAAAAGGAGAAGCGGAAGCATTCTGTCCATGGGGATCCGTCTGTCCCGAAGGAAGCCAAAAAAGATAAGTCGGGCAAGGCTAGCTGGAAGCATAAGCTTGCTCCAGAATCACAGAGCGATTCGGATTCGACCGCCCCATCGGTCCAGACAGCACCATCGATCCTGACACCCTCTGCACCAACACCAAGGGCGTTGATGCAGGTGATGCTGCCTGAATCCCCACAAAAGGTTGAGCCTGCGGTCCCAATGATGTTGCATCCACCTGAACCCGTCGTTCATGGGTCTATGTCGGATGGAGAGATCCAAGACTCTCCTCCACGATTGTTGCCGTGCCATCAACTGGCCCGCTGTCCAACTCCAATGCCATCCTCTCCGGAGGCCCCTCGGAGGACCACGGTGGTCGAACCCCACCAGCACCGCCACTCATCTGGTCAATCTGCCAGATCATGGGTCCTGATGCCTTACGAAGGTCCGGAATCCTCACAACCTCACTATTGGAGACACCCACCCCCATACAGCTACTACCAACCGAGGGAATATAGACATCGATCCCAACCGACAAGGGCTGAAGCTCCTTCTACTTCAGCACCGACGACCTCTCACCATCCTCCTCCTCTGGCTCAATCATCCTCCAGTCTGCCATACCCATATGACTCGGACTCTGAGGACTTGGATGAGTGTTCTGCATCCCCTGCAGCAGTCATCTCCACCCAGGGACCTGGGTTGCCTGAAGAATCCTACACTACCTTTGGCGAACTTATGGACCGCTTAACTAGAGCCTTGGAGATTGAAGTTGAGCACCAGCCCAACATTAACAAGGACAACTTCTATGATATTGTCCGTAAAGAACAATCATCCACTGTTACCATCCCATTAATTACAACCATCCCGTTAATTGCAACCCTCCCAACCAGCCTCAATCGACATCTAGGAGGTATGAGTCCATGTGCAAAGTCAAAGAGCAAGATATTCCCTTCCTCTGAAACATCCGAAGCCCAACTCCATTGTGGTCGAGTCTTCCCAGGGGCGAGACAACAGGGAACACTCAGCCCCTAGGGACAAGGAAGGCAGAAAAATTGACCTTATGGCTCAGCAGATTTATGCGGCTATGGGACTGGGCTTGAGAATTTCCAACTACAAGGCAACGATGGTGAGGTATCAGTATTTTCTGATGCAGCGGTTGGATTTGATCACCTCGTCCATCCCAGAGCAACAACGTGACCTGGCCCAGGTTTTCATAAGAGAGGCTATGTAGCTCGTGATTCAACAGCTCACTACAGCCCGCCGTCATGTTGATTGCGATTCATGCACTCTAGTTGGCTCCGTCATTCTCCGAAGGCATGCCTGGCTATGCTCCTGTAATTTTCCAGAGGAAACCAAGCGACGGATCGAGGGGATGCCTTTCGACAGATCGGGCCTCTTCCACGACCAGACAGACCACAAGCTCGAGCATACTTAAAATGCTTGGGCTATCGCTAGGAAGATGGAAATCCCAGGCTCGACCCATCGTAAGTGGCATCAATCTCACTATCCAAGATATCAACCTTACCACCGTTTCCAGCCACGCCAACAATTTCCCCAGTGGCAACAACGAAACTGCACGCAACCAGCTACCCAATATCAACAGGGCCGCCGCCGCCAACCCACCGATAAGAGGCAACGTTTGATAAGAGGCAACAAGTTTGATGTCATACCCCCTTCGGGTCCGGTATTATATACCGCCCCATCGGAAATTCTTAGAGACGAAGTATCTCAGCTACTCCATAAGGGAGCAATCCACTGAATCTCCCATTCCGATGGACTCTGCAGTTTCTACTCCAGATATTTTACGGTACCTAAGAGGGATGGTGGCTTATGCCCCATACTTGATCTAAGGGGCATTAATGCCTTTATTACGACTAAGAAGTTCCGTTTGACCACCTTACAAAATATCCTCCCCCTGCTAGAGAGAGATGATTGGTTCGTGTCCATTGATTTGAGGGATGCCTATTTTCATATCGGTATCCACCCATTTTATAGGAGGTTTCTCCGCTTTACTGTTGGCCCTGACATTTTTGAATATAATGTTCTTCCCTTCGGACTTGCTACAGCCCCCAGGATATTTATCAAGTGCATGGCTCCGGTATGTGCTCACCTTCATCAACAAGGTGTTCAAATTTATCCATATTTAGACGATTGACTCATCGTCTCTTCTTCCTGGGACCGACTTGTTATAGACATTGACACTACGTGCACCCTCCTAGAGAACTTGGGGCTTCTCATTAATACTGGAAATTTCCTGTCTCATTCCTTCGCAGGTCATCGAGCTCATCAGGTCACAAACCAGTTCAGTCCGGGCACGAGCATTCTTACCACGGACCTGAATGGAAAGACTCTGTTCCATAGTCGGGCAGGTTCAGGAAGGCGGACAAGTTCAAGCACTGGTTATCCAAAAGCTTCTGGGCCATATGGCTTCAACAATCATAGTTGTTCCAAATGCCAGACTACGAATGCGACCACTTAAGCTGTGGTTCAACACTGTGTTCCAGCCCCTCCACAATTCCCCGAGGTGACTTCTCCTTCCCCCCGCCTTGGTTTGCCAGACTTTGACTTGGTGGATGAACCCCGACAATCTCCTCGTCGGCGTTCCATTTCACCAGCTACAACCCTCCATTTCACTCCATACCGATGCGTCTCTCACGGGTTGGGGAGCACATTGTTCCAACCTACAGACACAGGGTACCTGGCAAACACACGAGAGGCCCAATCACATCAACTTTCTCAAGTTGCTGGCAGTTTTCAAGGCACTACTCTCCTTCGAGCCCATGCTGCAGAACCGGTCGGTACAGGTGGCTTCTGACAACACAGTTAAAATTTTTTACCTGAACAAACAGGGTGGTACAAAGTCGGTACCATTGGCTCAACTGTCCCTACAGATTTGGGACTGGTGTGTCCCCAGAGGGATTTCGCTCATGGCAATCCATCTGGCAGGAGTAGACAACCAAGAGGCAGACACCCTGAGCAGGAAGTTGTCGTCAACCCACAAGTGGGAATTGGACAACCAAGTTTGCAAAGACTTGTTCAGCCGGTGGGGCACCCCGACATTGGACCTGTTTGCGACAGCTTCCAATTCGAAGTGCACGACCTATTGCTCCAGGGTGGGATCAGGGCCGAACTCACAAGGGGACACCTTGATGGTGAGTTGGTCGGATTTATTCCTGTACACCTTCCCTCCAATCCCGTTGATTACCCGCACCCTGGAGAAGGCTGCCCGGACCGAGCACGGGTCATCCTCATTACACCATGGTGGCCCCGTCAACCCTGGTTCTCGACCGTTCTCAAACTGTCACGACACACGTTCTTCCATCTGCCACGGGTCCCTCATCTGATTACACAAGGGAGAGGGACGATTCTTCATCCCGACCTCAACACCCTCAACCTTACCGCGTGGCTCCTGCACTAACTGCCTCTGTTAACCTGCGAAGTCTCCAACAAGATACTTCGGTCTCGACAACAGAGTCTCAGTCGGTACTGAAGGGCCTCACTCAGGTCTCCTCTGAAGCTGCATCATCTCAACAAGAAATTGAGTTTATACTACAGTCTGCTCTTCAACCATCCACTCATCGATCGTATGAGGCAAAGTGGAAGCGTTTTATCACCTTTATGGAAGCCAACCATTTTGCTCATGAATTGGCTTCCATCGATACCATCCTTTCTTTCTTGCTCTCCTTGCACCAGTCTGGACTTAAACCTACCTCCATTAAGGTTTACATCGCAGCTATATCCCACTTCGTGGCCCTCTGGTTCATCTGTGTTTTCTCACATGCTCATTTGGCGCTTCCTCAAGGGGCTACAAAATCTCCATCCTCCGACCCAACCGTCAATACCGACTTGGAGTTTATCAGTAGTTCTCCTTGCACTCACCAAAGCTCCTTTCGAACCTCTTGCAACGACAGAATTAAGATTACTATCTTGGAAGGTGGCCTTCTTGGTTGCCATAACCTCGGCAAGAAGGGCAAGAGAACTCTCCGCCCTCCGTGTGGACCCACCATACCTTAACTTCCACAAGGAAAAAGTAGTTCTGCATACAGATCTGGTGTTTCTTCCTAAGGTGGCCACAGCATTTCACATTAACCAGGACATTGTGCTTCCAGCATTCTTCCCTTCCCCGTCCACCCCAATAGAAAAATCTCTCCATTCCCTTGATGTGCATCAGTGCCTAGCCTTCTATTGGTCACGCAGTGAGAGCTTCAGAAAAACTAAACACCTATTTGTCAAAAACTCCGAATCTGACAAGGGTGCTCCTCTCTCTGCCCAGAGGCTATCGAAATGGATAGTCCAGACTATTGAACTTGCATACCAGCTGGCCAAGATAGACCTTCTGGTTGCCCCTAGGGGTCATTCTACTAGACCCATGGTGCCCCCTCGGCCTTTTCATCGGGCGCCCCATTGCTGGACATTTGTAAAGCTGCTACATGGACAACTCCCTGTACCTTCACCAGGCACTACAGGTTGGACGTTTGAGCCCAACAGGATTGCTCCTTCGGACAGGCTGTCCTTTCATCCATCCTTCACTGACGACAATGACCCACCTCCGGTGAGTGAAACTTGCTAATTACCCATTATGTGTGATGCACAGAGACCACGAAGAAGAAAGTCAGGTTGCTTACCTGTAACTGTCGTTCTTCAAGTGGTCATCTGTGCAGTCACACAACCCGCCCTCCAGCCCCACTCGGTGTCGAGGGACGGGATGGTAGTCTCTCTCTATTGACTCGTCTTCTAGATGACACGCTCCACTAGGGGGCGATCTGCCAGTCTCCAGAGACTGAGGAAAATGGCAGGTGCTCCGCCCTATATAGCACCAGTGGGGAGGGGTGTGGAGTTCCCGCCAAAAACCGTTGTAGCTTTGATATTCTGACCGACAACAGGCACTGCGCAAGCACAGTACCCATTATGTGTGACTGCACAGATGACCACTCGAAGAACGACAGTTTCAGGTAAGCAACCTGACTTTCTGTTCCCATCTTTTAATAGCAGATACATAAGCAATATATTTCATTTCATGGAGATGACATGATGTCTTGTAATTACTTTACATCAATGCACAGCTCCAGATGTTAGTCCAAACAAAAGCCTGCATCCCTGGAACTGGGTGCACAGTGTCAGTTCCTCTGCTAACCTTCAACCTTGTTATCCTTTATCCCATTTCATAGCAATTTATGCTGGCAAAGGGAGCAAAATTGAGGTCTTGGCAGATTTGGAATGTATCAGAATGAAATTGGAATTAATAGAAATAAATTACTGCCTTTCTCAAGTGTTTGCAGGACTGGATCAGTGGGTGGTATCTGGACAGCCAATATGCTGCCTGTATATTTAAAGTTAATGTGCTTTGCCTAACCTTCAGCTGAATGTATTATATAATCATATATGTACGGAAACTTTTTAAATGTCTTCAAAGAAGACTAGAGTCCTTAAGTTGATGATAGTTATATTTTATTACATTAAATGTGGATATATAAAGATATATATATATATATATATATATATATTTAAATATAAGTGGCTTTATATCAGATGTTTAATTTCAGTAACTGTGAATTTTTCTGTTTTGTGCATCCTTTTCCCAGTTTAACCCTTTCCCCCTCAGATTAAAAAGAAAAGTAGAGTAATACAGGAAGTATTATAAATTTGGTTGTTGGGATAAAAGATTAAAACTGCATAAAATAATTAAATGTATATTTTTGAAAGAGAGAGGCTACATTATCAATATTTCTATCAAAATTTACTCTAAAGAACTAGATATATATTTCCAGATGTACAAAATAAAAAAGCAATATTTACAAGTAGGCAAGTGGCTTTTTAAGACTTATATTCAAGATTAAAATATAATTGATTGACCTTGATGCACTTAACTGAGAATATTTCAGAATCTCACTTTATTATATAGTGACTATATTATATCTACTTTATTAACACCTTGAGTTAATGAAAAATTCTTACTAGTTAATTAGACAGTTCAGCAAATTCCAAATGCAAATAATAACCCTAAAAATAATTGTTGTCCATTAAGTTTAGAAGGATCATGCACATGTCTTTGTTCATGTACCTTCATCCAGGGATGTGCATATACTTGGATGCGTACACAGATCTCTTGATGATGTGGGCTGAGGCCATTCCACGTGTGGCTTCATTCCATTTCTAGAATGGGAAGCTCTTGGTGAGAGAATTCCATGCATGCCAAAAAAAAAAAAAAAAAAAAGCTTCTGTGCCCATCCCTGGATCAAAGTAATAGACTGTAAAGGCCAAGAGTATTGCTGTAAAAGTTCTGAGTTCGGTGATACTGCTGGACTGAGCTAGACAGACACACTGCAAAAAAGGGAATTTCGTTGTACGCGACTTTGCTGCATGACTGAACAGTGCCTTTTTCCAGAGTCATTGATGTCTGTGTTTCTGTTACAAATGTAAACTCTACATTTTTATGTCATGTATTATTCACTGCAAGTATTTTATGCTATACTATTTCATTTCATGGTGTGTATCAGTGTTAGGTTTTGTTTTGTCATGAATTTTGTCTTGCCTAGTTAACAAACCATAAAACTGTGCAAGTAGCCAGCCTGGAGGCTGGGCATTGTCCAGCAGGAATGTCTTCTGCTCCTGGTTTGGCATTTCAAAGGGATTGTGTCAAAAGCTCTTTGAAAATGCATGAATATAATGGCTGCAGGATCATACTTGACCATAAGCTAGTTGAAACACTCAATGCATTCTAAAAGTTCTGTGAGGCAAGACTTCCTGTTTGTAGGTATCATGCTGACTCTTAACACTGCTTGGGCTTTGGTGCATTCAGCAATTTTACCTTTAATAATTTTTCACCCAAATCGCCTTGGACAAGTCTTAGATGGCATGATTTCTATATAATCACCTTCCCCATTTTCTTCTTCAAAAAACTACTGCTAATATTTGTGGTCTCCTGATCCTCCGGGTTTGGAAGTTGATTTTAATAAGCTTTGTTTAAGGAGAGCAATTTCACATTTGAGTCTTTGAAGAGACACTCGGTGAACATCGCCCAGCCCCAGTATGTTTGTCTGTCATTCACCGGCTTTAACATGCCATTGTTTGTGTTGACAATTTTTTCAGGGAGAGCATTTCAAGAACTAAAAGGATATCTCACCAACAAACTTTCACAGCAAAGAATGATAGAATTAATTACATCTATTTCTCCATCCCTTTTAATTACTCCTTCTCATATTTAAAAAAGTAAAAAATGATCTTTAAGTAAAGATGATTACTTATGATCTTTAAGTAAAAAAGATCATAGCACCTACATGATCCAGATATATTTGCAGATACAGATATCTGGATGGTTTGTTTTATGCTATCCCCATTAGCACTTCAGATTCCTTCTTTGCCTTATCAGTTTACATATATTTAATGCTTGCCTACATGAGGTGGTTTCTTGTGGTGGAACTGATAAAATTCGGAAGGCAGAATTGATGTTTCAGAAAAAATATTTCTTACTGTAAAGCATTATTCCAAAATGAATCAACTTCACTGAACTTTGCCTGTCATGTTCATATATTATCTAATGAATAGCTCATGCCTTTTCAAATATTTTGCATCTGGCAGCTGTTACTTTACTGTCACAAAATGTCAAAATGCCATGCATTGTGTAGAGTTCACACAGAGTTCTGCATATCACTTTGAAAGACAATTTTATGTTCTCCCTCTCCTCAAGTGTCATGATTGTGTAAGTGCGTCCTTGTGTTTTCTATGATCTATATCTACCTCATGCTTCGAAAAAAGATCCTAATGCTGATTGTAAGTGCAGTCCAACAGGTATTGCTATGGCGTGTCCACCATCAGAATAAATGATGGCTGGTTCACAGCATCCACACCTGCTGGCTTGCACTCTGTGTGAGTAGAGTATTTTTAATGAGGCTCGTTGGGTTTTGTTTGTCAAACCTGGGGTGTTCACAAAGCAACTGAATCACTGTCTGGCATCTGCCATTTCCCAAACAAATTTCTTTCAACTTTTTAAAAAATGAGCCTAATTACCTTTATTTGTTTAACGGAGTGAGAGAAATATGCCTGCCTAATCCCTGTGGCCAGTTTGAACACCCCATGTGTCTTTGTCTCCGTATTATGTGTATTTCCAAGATCTTTGTGTAGATGAGAAGTTGTACAGTTTTGATAATACCTTTGTCATGTTACCTTGACTCTCTGTGCTTAATAAAGGTATATCAGTTAGTAACTGAATGTGACTTTTTTTCCCTGAACTACAAACAAACCCACTTTGAGCTCTATTGTATTGCAAGAGGGTTATAAAACCATGCATTTTGTTCAAATATAATGGTTTTGAACATTATATAATATATTAGAATGAGGAAGAAGGCATAAGTGCCTTTGTTCACACTTCCTATATAGCAGATGAACAGACGCTGTGGGTCACTGTGCCCCCTCAGATCACCTTGGGGGCCCTGCACCAAACCGTTCCTGAATGCAAGGAGAAGATAGATTCCTTTCTCTTTATAAATGTGTATTTTAGAGTCTTAGATTTCTGGTTATTGAACTAATTTTAGGAAGTGTGCTAAATCTGAGTCGCCAGAAAGTTCTGTTCTCAGACCTGGAATACCTTAAAGCAGAGTTATTTTACTTCGCAGACAAGTTGAAGCCATGTAAAACTTGAAAAGAAGCAACTGCAAGCACTCAGCTCTGGACAGTTTGTTACCGATAGTAATTGTAAACAAACAGAATTAATCTGACACTGATTGGAACAGCTGATCAGAATAACTGATCAGGAATGAGAAAAGATATTACATACGCCCTAAAAATGTGTTGTACAGCAATCAAGATTTTAAAATTTCAACATCTAGCAAGTCTTCTGTATAAAGCAGGAGAGTTGGAAGGTCTGAATCATAACTGTTTCTAAGAATATGCTTTTAAGTCCTTATATATAATATTTGCCCCACACTGAAATAAAGTGAAAAAGAAATTTAAAAGGATATACATTTTGATACTTGTATTTGTATTTGTTCAGCTCATATTCCTAAATCTAAAATTAAAACACAAGTTGCACCTAATTGCCATGTTATTTTAGGAAAGTGTTATGCTGTTCGTTTGAGTGTAATCCTAAGAATATTTAATGACACTTTCTCCCTAAAATTTCTGGGACTTAATGGTCCAAGTCAGTATGGTCAGAAGACGGTAGTTAATTTCTTTTGCTACCATGAGAACTTAGGAATGGTTTTCTTTCTCTACATTTATCTGTTAATCACACTCCAACTATTTCAGCAGGTATATGAACTCTATAGTTGTAGGAGCGGTCCATTGATCTCCCCTGCCCACAGAGGATAGCTCCATGCATGCAAAGGCATGCAAAGAAAGCCAGTTGGACAGCCAAAGAGATGCAGAATTTGCAATTTCAATGAACAAGAGGGGCATCCCCTCAAAACACCTGGCCACTTTCTTGAGCGGCTGGCATGACAAAATCATTCTGTCTGCAAAGCTTGCAAAGTGTGTATAACAAACCTGATTCTACCACATCATAGGATCCCTCACCTTGTGGGAGGACTAATGCTGGAATTATTAGCCAGTAGACTCCATGTGACCTATTCGTCCATACATCAATTGTGCTGCAGCTGTTTCCACATGCCAGTTCTGGTTCACATGGGAATTGGCCTCTACCAAGCCAAACAAGATAACATATCAATTATTTTCTAATAAAATAACAGTAACAGTTCATGTTCTTCCAAGTTAGATAAACCTGCCCAGGCCAACATATCCACCCCCTTTTCCCTCCACTTCCGGCCCAGTACTCCTCTTAGAACTCCACCCTACCATAACTACTTCACTTCAATTGTCAAATCTCTCAGACCTCAAGGCCAGCTTCATCCCAGGAATCAACCTCGGTTACCATAATGTGTCACCATCAATAGAGCTAACCCCAGCAATAAATTGCAACAAAAATTTGATAAACACACTTTTCTCATTATGCCAGAAGTGTAGTCCATGCAATTGCCTTTTGGATGTGCCAATCCTGTGCTACCTGCCACGTTTAGAAGTAAAACCACAGCCCACTAACTGCATGGCATTATCATATTCAAAGTCATCCGAAGCCTTGGTGATTTCAATAGGATAATGGGTTGGCTGGAGACTCAGAGTAAAACACAATACAAATGCTTCTTATTTATTTAGAGTGGACATTGAAATCAGTGAGACTTAGGTTAGCTAAGTCTGAATCCAAACCCTCTTCCATAAATATGTTTAGGGTCTGTGTTTAAAATGTTTATTCCAGTGTGCTTAGAAATATGCTTTAATGCCAGTACCTTTAAGAATCGTAATGTTCTTTTGCAAATCAGACACAGTCCTCTGTTTCAAATGAGAAATCCTTTGACCCTTCAGATGTTGGATGACAGTTCCCATCATTCTTGACCATTTGACAATGCTTCTGAGACTCCACTATCATCTGGCAAGCCACTGGTTTGTCACCCCGGTATATCTGCTCACAGAGGGGTAATAGACATTTATGTAACCAAGCAAGTGATATCCATTTTACCTTATTAGTACAGAATTTTCTTCCTCAACTCCGAGTTAGAACAAACCTGGCTTTCCATTATCTTGAACATTTATTTTTTGCAGGGAGGGGGAGTTAAAAAAAAGATTGTGTCATACAGTTCATTTTTCTTAGGGACAGAAATTGTTCACAAGCATTCAGTTGTGATAGGTTTATTTTTTTAAAATGTTATAAATTGAAATCTTAGAATATTGCTAAGAGAACATAATTTAACAGTGTTGGTTCCTGCCAGATTCTTGTGAATGAAGCAAGTATTTTGGATAAGAAAGACTAGGACTAAATGTCAGTTGTGAGTAGAATACAGACCAGATATTTTCTTACTCTAAACAAAGTTTAAATATATAGCAGCATGGCCGAGAGCAAGGCAACGTACGAGGCCAATGTTCTTCTGATAAAGCACTATAATAAGTCATTTTGTAATAGTAAGGCCAAAATTTATGAGGACTGACGTCTGCTTGCTGCCTTTGTTTTTGTTCCTTATCCCCAGTGCCTTAACTTTAGAGCAGACCTTCTGAACTTATGTGCATTTACATGGATTGGATTGCGTGCACACATACAAAAATCAAATGACATCACCCACCTACCTAAAAAGGTCAGAGCTTAAATTATTCTTTCATGGATTTTCTCATTTACTGGAAACCGAAAGGGAAAACTCTGCAGCCTGCACGGAAGAGTTTGGCTTACTCTGCTTAAATCAGTTGGAGAGGGAGCTGTCTTTTGCACACCTCTCATTTTGGGCATTGGCGTACTTTTCTAATCACTTCGAAATACATTGAAAAAGCAGCACTTCGTAGATGGCCATAAAAGCCTGAAAGATGTAATATAATCATGCAAAGAATACATAATGAGTTCTTTGGGCATTTATCTATGAGGGAGGCCTTTTAGGGGAGAGAAAACCCCTTGGGTAGTGCTCTATTTTATTTTTAAATCATTGATTAATTTGTCTATTTTACAATATAAATTGATAGCACAGTTCCAGCAACAGGTGGCACAGGCTGTAAACAACCCAGTGAGGCTGTCTGTAGCCCTCTGAACTCAGAGGATGATGGATGTCCTATGGAGGGCAGAAGGCACCTGAAGGTGAATGCCACCTCCAAATTGATTACACCCTGCAACACACCTGGATAGCCAATCTCAGCCATCTAAGTGTTTGGACTTGTCTCAGGTGCCTTGGAAAGTGTAGCTGACACCAATCAAGAGTCTGGATGAGAATGTAATTGCCTTTCTCCAACAAGAATGTAACAATAACAAACTCAACTTCACCCAGATTCTACTCAGTGAAAGTGCCCCCTGCTGTACAGACAAGGTAATAACACTTCACTCCCCATACACTCCCCATCTCGATATACTAGCTTCAAAATGGAACTTCTCCTTGAAACAGGAAGAGTACAGTACAACCAGGGGCAAGAAAGGCAAATCCACACCACGGTACCCTAGAGAAGGCTCTCCTTACAGAGTGATGCTCTGCCACTGGTGATCTATTAGGAGGCGGCGCCTGGGCTGGCTGGCAGGGTTGCCTTTCATTTTCTTTGCTTGCTTTTTCATTGCCTGGACTGGAGATGGCTGGGAGGTTTTAAAACCAGGCTGACAGGTTAAATGCTAGGGAACCTAAGCAGAACCAGATGTTCCTCCTGTACTGGAGAGGAACCCCCTCACCCCTTTACGATGACAAAAGGTGCTAAATATTTCTGCTGGCTGCCATGGCTCATATGTCACCTCTATTGCATATTGCGAGCATTAGGGATCAGGACCACGTTTATACCACCTCAGTGAACAAGATGTAAATCAGCCTTTCCTTGCCTTGCTCACACCAGAGCAGCATAGCTCCTTTGTGGAGGAAAGCGTTTGCCTCTAGCTTGGATCCCAAGCTTTGGATTAGATTGGCAGCTGCGGGATGTGGGTGGGGGCAGGGGAACAAGTCCGGCCTATTGCTGGATCTGTAGCAAAAATGCAGAGATCAGCAGGCAAAGGTCTACATGGTAAAGAAAAAGCTTCCATCATCTAAATGCTAATTGCTGCAGCTCAAACTACTTTAAGGCCCCAGTTCAAAACCTGGCAGGCCTTCAAAGACTTGGTCACTGATCCTTCCAAGGTCCTCTCGGCAGTGCTGCTGACCCACGCAGTGCCCGAGCTTCTGAAATGGCTGCTTCCCCGGGGGAACAGAGCCCATGCTGTCTACCAGAGAGTGCTTTTGCAGTATCTGTGCAAGGCACGTGTACCACTACCGGGGCATCTGCTGTTGAACAAAGTGCAGTTTCCATTGTGCTGACAACAAGGGGTTGTTTCTCACACAAATGCAGTTGTGTGAATTGTGGAGGAGTTGGAAAAGTGATGCAGGCAGGGATATGGCCTGTGAAGTTTCATTTGTTTCAAGTTTTAAAGACTGACTAAGCCATGGGCAGGTTGGCAGGTGCAAAGAAGCAGAGATATTTTTAAAGGTGGGGCTAAAATAATTGCACCCTCATGAAAAACCCTAGAGAAGAAGGGAATGAGAAGTAGGGGAGGCTGTGGTGCTGCTCGCTGCTATCCCCCCACTTCCCTGGGATGAAGTCAGTGGGACAAGCACCCCCAATTCCTCCGCACCCAAAATCAGTCCATGAAGTCAAGTGCAGCCCCTCTCCTGTGCTGACTTTCCCAACACTGACCACCTTCAAAAACAATGTGCTTTACTTCTAAGT